CACAGATAAAAAGCTAGTCTAGTGAAGAGAAGGACCATGGGACACCTGACAACAGTGTTCCAATACTTGAGGGGCTGTCACAGAGAGGAGAGAGGGGATCAACCTATTTTCCAAAGCACCTGAACGCCAGACAAGGAATACTGGATGGAAACTGATCAAGGAGAGATTCAACCTGGAAATAAGGAGAATTTTTCTGACCTGGAGAACAATCAACCAATGGAACTTGGTTTGCCTTCAGAAGTTGTGGGAGCTTCATCACTGGAAGCTTTTAAGAAGAGACTGGACAGCCATCTGTCAGAAATGGTGTAGGGTCTCCTGCTTGGGTGGGGGGTTGGACTAGATGACCTACAAGGCCCCTTCAGACTCTGTTATTCTTATTCTGTTAAAGCACAAGGTAAAGCAGAAATTTAAATCTCCCAACCAGCAGAAACTGGGATGCGGTGGCTCAGTGGCTAAGAAGTTGAACTTGTCGATTGAAAGGTCGGCAGTTCAGTGGTTCAAATCCCTAGTGCCGTGTAACGGGGTGAGCTTCCTTACTTGTCCCAGCTTCTGCCAACCTAGCAGTTCGAAAGCACATAAAAAATGCAAGTAGAAAAATAGGGACCACCTTTGGTGGGAAGGTAACAGTGTTCCATGCGCCTTTGGCATTTAGTCATGCTGTCCACATGACCACAGAGATGTCTTCGGACAGTGCTGGCTCTTCAGCTTTGAAACGGAGATGAGCACCGTCCCCTAGAGTTGGGAACAACTAGCACATATGTGCGAGGGGAACTTTTACCTTTACTTAACAGCAGAATATCGAAGGCAGCAATTTTAAATGCCGTAAGGAAGGCTGAGTGCCGAAGAATGAATGCATTTGAACTTAGTGTTGGAGAAGACTCTGGAGAGTCCCTTGGACTGCAAGATCAAATCAGTGGATCTTAAAAGAACTCAACCCTGACTGTCCTTTGGAAGGACAGATGCTGAAGCTTCTGAAGCAATACCTTGGTCACCTAATGAGAAGAGAGGACTCACTGCAAAAGAACCTGATGTTGAGGAAAGATGGAAAGCAAAAGGAGAAGGGGACAGATAGCAGTGGATGAGATGGTTGGATAGGATGAGATGGTGAGATAGGATGGGATGGGATAGAATAAGAGAGTTGTAAGGGACCTTGGAGGTCTTCTAGTCCAACCCCCTGCTTAGGCAGGAAACCCTACACCACTTCAGACAAATGGTTATCCAACATCTTCTTAAAAATTTCCAGTGTTGGAGCATTTACAACTTCTGGAGGCAAGTTCTTCCACTGATTAATTGTTCTGTCGGAAATTTCTCCTTAGTTCTAAGTTACTTCTCTCCTTGTAGTTTCCACCCATCACTTCTTGTCCTACCCTCAGGTGCTTTGGAGAATAGCCTGACTCCCTCTTTTTTGTGGCAGCCCCTGAGATATTGGAACACTGCTATCAGGTGTCCCCTAGTCCTTCTTTTCATTAAACTAGACATACCCAGTTCCTGCAACTGTTCTTCATGTTTTAGCCTCCAGTCCCCTAATCATCTTTGTTGCTCTTCTCTGCACTCTTTCTAGAGTCTCAACATCTTTTTTACATGGTGGCGACCAAAACTGAATGCAATATTCCAAGTGTGGCCTTACCAAGGCATTATAAAGGGGTATTAACATTTCACGTGATCTTGATTCTATCCCCCTGTTTATGCAGCCTAGAACTGTGTAGCCTTTTCTGGCAGCTGCTGCACACTGCTGGCTCAAATTTAAATGGTTGTCCACTAGGACTCCAAGATTGAGCAAGGTACCACATATACTGTACCTGTGCATTTTGTTTTCCTTGCCTAAAAGTAGAAGCTTACAGATAGATAGATAGATAGATAGATGATAGAAACAGATGATAGATAGAAATAGATAAGAGATAGCTAGATAGATGGATGGGTGAGTGGGCGGATGATAGAAATAGATAGATAATGGATAGATGGATGGATGATAGAAATAGTGATAGAAATGGATGATAGAGATAGATCGATGGATGGATGGATGGGTGGATGATAGAAATAGATGATAGATGATAGATTAGAAATAGATAGATAATGGATAGATGGATGGATGATAGAAATAGATAGATAGAAATAGATAGATAGATAGATAGATAGATAGATAGATAGATAGATAGATAGATAGATAGATAGATAATGGATAGATGGATGGATGATAGATATATAGAAAGAAATAGATAGATAGATAGATAGATAGATAGATAGATAGATAGATAGATAGATAGATAGATAGATAGATAATGGATGGATGGATGATAGATAGATAGAAATAGATAGATAATGGATAGATGGATGGATGATAGATAGATAGAAAGAAATAGATAGAAAGAAATAGATAGATAGAAAGAAATAGATAGATAGAAAGAAATAGATAGATAAAGATCGATGGATGGATGGGTGGGTGGATGATAGAAAGAAATAGATAAAGATCGATGGAGGATAGAAATAGATAGATGGATAGACCAACCAACCGCTTAGACAGGCGCTGTAAAGCACTGTGAAGCAGTATATAAGATTAAGTGCTATTGCTATAGTGTCATCCACGCAATGAACATGAATTCGGGCAGGCTCTCGGAGACAGGGGAGGACCCCGTGTGTGTGTGGGTGTGTGCGCGTGTGTCTGGCATGCTGTGGTCCATGTGGTCGCGAAGAGTCAGGCACGACTTAGCAATTGAACAACAACAACGTATTTTAAATCATGCAGCATCACAGGAACGGAATTTGGGGGGGGGGGGAATGGAATAGGTAGCAGCTGAGGATCTGTTTCAGCCCCGTTGCTTGCTCTGCTTCTGCACCCCATGGAGCAAACCAAACAGCCCCGCTTTGCTCCCGGTCTTTCCTCCGACCTTCCTTCAACTCACCTGCCAGCTGCTGCTGCTTCGACCCCGGGAAGAGCACAGAAAAACAGCCCTCCACGACACCATCCTCCTGGGGAGGGAGGGAGGGGGGGAGAACCGGAAGAGGAAGCTCCTGTGCCTTTTTTTTCTCCCCCCCCCTCCAAAGCCTCTCTAGCAATCCAATACTTCAATGCTCTTACCTCAGAAGCCGCTGCTTACATCGGCGGTTTTCTAGGCGCTGGTGTTGCTGATCTTTAGAGCGCCATCTAACGACTACAAGGCTGAAAAACACACTTGTCTGATGTCTATGGAGATTCTCAGAATTGGACAGAAAGTCCAATTGGCTCTTTGAAAAAAAAAGCACCTTTGAGACACTTATCTGCTTTCGGGAAGGACAGATACAGTACTGTTTGATACAGATCTGTATACTATACATAGACTGTATACTATACATAGAGAGTTCCAGGCAGCCAGGAACTCTCTTCCAAGTTCTTCCCTTCCATTCCCTCTGTGCTAATGTCTCATTTTATTCTTTTATTTATTCTTTACGATTAGGGCAGTGGTGAAATTCAATTTTTTTTACTACCGGTTTTATGGGCATGGTGTGGCTTGGTGGGCGTGGCAGGGGAAGGATACTGCAAAATCTCCATTCCCACCCCACTCCAGGAGGATACTGCAAAATCTCCATTCCCACCCCACTTCTGGGGGAAGGAAATTGCAAAATCTCCCTTCCCACCCCACCCTGGGACCAGCCAGAAGTGGCATTTGCCGGTTCTCCGAACTACTCAAACTTTCCACTAGCGGTTCTACAGAACCTGTCAGAACCTACTGGATTTCACCCCTGGATTAGGGGACTTGAGGATAAAACATATAAAGAACGGTTGCTGGAACTGGGCATGTCTAAGTCTTATGAAAAGGACTAAGGGAGACATGATAGCCGTGTTCCAGTATCTCAGGGGTTGCCACAAAGAAGAGGGAGTCAAACTATTCTCCAAAGCACCTGAGGGCAGGACAAGAAGCAATGGGTGGAAACTAATCAAGGAGAGAAGCAACCTAGAACTAAGGAGAAATTTCCTGACAGAACAATCAATCAGTGGAACAACTTGCCTCCAGAAGTTGTAAATGGTCCAACACTGGAAGTTTTAAAGAAGAGATTAGATAACCATTTGCGGGGGGTTGGACTAGAAGACCTCTAAGGTCTCTTCCAATTCTGTTATTCTATTCTATTGTATTCCTCAAAGATACAGTATTAAGAATGCTGTACCCACTAAGATTTTACATTATGGATTGGTTTTTCTGAATGACTGAGAGCCCTTGGAATTATTTCAAGTGTTTTCAGCTCCTAAGAACAATAAAATGATAAGATGTACAGTAGTCCTTGACTTATCAGTTCATTTAGTGACCATCTGAAGTTACAACAGCACTGAAAAAATGACTGATGACCGTTTTTCACACTGTTGCGGCATCCCTATGGTCATGTGATCAAAATTCAAGCATTTGACAATCGACTCATATTTATGACGGTTGCAGTGTCCCAAGGTCATGTGATTGTCTTTTGTGACTGTCTGACAAGCAAAGTCAATAGGGAAGCCAGATTCATTTAATACAGTGTTTCTCAACCTTGGTAGCTTGAAGATGGCTGGACTTCAACTCCCAGAATCCCCTAGCCAGCACTGCTGGTTGGGAGATTCTGGGAGTTGAAGTCCACCCATCTTCAAGCTACCAAGGTTGAGAAACACTGATTTGTTACTAACTTATCAACTGCAGTGATCCACTTAACATAGGTGGCAAGAAAATTCACTTAATAAATATCTCACTTAGCAACAGAAATGTTGGGCTCAGTTGTGGTCATAAATCAAGGAATAGCTGTATACCAAAATATGGCAGAATAAAAGAAAAAGACAGAATTAAATACAGTATAATCTGATTATTGTAAGGTTTAAAAAAATGCACATTTGTTTAAATTTGAAGCCACCTGGATGGAGTCCAAAGAACGTCAGGATTAAAGAACCTCTCGGTTCCTCCTCACCCCTGGCCTGGTTCTGATTCTTGGGTGTCCTTCTGCAAAGGGATCCTATGCAATGTGACCAACTATGAAAAGTAGTATGATATAATCTGACAAAGTCAAAGCAAATGTTTATTATGGTGAAAGACAGCATAAGGATTGTGGGGGTACATTTAGTTAAAAAAAAACATAGAAAACAATGGAAGTCTAAGAATAATCATTATTATAAACAGACAAAAGATGTAAGAGAGTATACAGGTAGTCCTTGACTTACAACAGTTTGTTTAGTGACCGTTCAAAGTTACAAGGGCATTGAAAAATGTGATTTATGACCATTTCCCACAGTTACATTAGTAGCATCCCTATGATCATGTGATGAAAATTCAGATGCTAAGCAACTGATTCATATTTATGACGGCTGCAATGTCCTGGGGTCATCTGATCTGCTCTTGCGACCTTCTGACACAATCCAGATCACTTAACAACCATGCTACCAACTTAACCAAATGCAACGATTCACTTAACAACTGGGGCAAGAAAAGTCGTAAAACGGGGCAAACTCACTTAACAAATGTTTCACTTCGCAAGATAAATTTTGGGGCTCAATTGCGGTCGTAGCCCGAGGCCTACCTATAGTCTCCACACTGATGAGTTTCTTTGATACTTGTGCTTATCCTAGGCCACAGTCTGAAATAACGGATTTTCCTGGCACTGATTTGTTGGAAGTATTTGGAAAAGACGAACTTCGAATCCTCCTTATCTCCTCTCATTTTTGTCATAGTGGAGAAGCCACCATCGGTAAATAAATCTGAGTGCGGAATTGTAATGTGTATTTTAGCCGGTTATGAGACCTACCACAAATGTTGACTACAACTTCAAGATACTTTATGCAACAGGTCTGCTGGCTAACGATTTCTGGGGCTTGAAATCTACAGCACATCTATTGTCCGGGTTCCAAGTAATACATCTCAGTTCAATAAGAACTCCGAGGCAGGCAATTTCCTCAAAGAACATTTTTATTAGGACATACCAAATTGGCATTTTCCTAGTGGAAAACCGGCTCTTAAATTGGTGCCGGTTTTCTCCCCCAATTAAAACTAAAAAAATTATCACATTCCCCCAGAGTCTCAGTCACACGGACCAATCAGCATATAGCCCAGTTGCTAGATGACCTCAGTCTCCACCATGCAGATACCTGCACGAATGTCCTTGATTCCCAGGGGAAAGAATTTTATTATGGCTACAACACCCCAGCTAATCTCTACAACCCCCCTCCCTGGCCCCTTCGCTCCAGGCTGTGTCAGCCCTGAAGCAGTGAGAAACAAAACCTCCCTAGAGACTAAAAAAAAGAAAATGGCCAGTTCAGCCAACTTCAGGATTGACACTTATGTTGAAGAAACCTGAAACTCCCTATGTAGCATTTCTATGGTTGATGATGATCAGTGTGCAAAAAAACCGACTCTCAAAGCCTTTTTGTAGAATTGCATGATTTCTGCATAAGGGAATTTCCAGTAAGTTTGCTGATATCCAGATACAAAAAGTTACCTTTTACCAAACCAATATTTTCAAATTCTCTCCGCCGTCATGTCTAATACCGAGATACAGTTGACTACAGTGAATGATTCCAGACATTTAATATTTAATTTCTTAATTCAAGATTTTTCGGCAGTCATCGCCTTCTGCCTCATGTGGATTTTTTTGTGTGCAGCAAGGCAGGAATATTGCGTAAAGCACCGTCCACACTCTGGGCATTTGAAAGGTTTCTCCCCTGTGTGTAAACCTAAATGATTTATAAGGTTAGACCTAGTACTGAAACCTTTCCCGCATTCCTGACACTCATATGGTTTCTCTCCTGTGTGAGTCCTCTGGTGTATCAACAGGTGGGAACTCTGACTGAATGTTTTCCCACATTCTAGACATTCATACGGTTTCACTCCAGTGTGTGTATTCTGATGTATCACCAGGTGGGAATTCCGATTGAAAGTTTTCCCACAAACGGGACATTTATATGGTTTCTCCCCGGTATGAGTCCTCTGGTGCATCATCAGATCAGATTTCTGGCTGAAACTTTTCCCACAAACAGGACACCCATACGGTTTCTCCCCAGTATGTGTTCTTTGGTGTATTACCAGGTGGGAATTCCAACTGAAACTTTTCCCACATTCCAGACACTCGTATGGTTTCTCTCCTGTGTGAATCTTCTGGTGCATCACGAGGTGAGAATTTTGGCTGAAACTTTTATCACAATACTGACATTCATATGGTTTCTCTCCTGTGTGAGTCCTCTCGTGCATCACCAGGTTAGAATTCCGACTGAAACTTTTCCCACAATCCTGACACCCATACGGTTTCTCCCCCGTGTGAATTCTCTGATGTATCAACAAGTTGGAATTCCGACTGAAATGTTTCCCACAATCTGGACACTTGTAAGGTTTCTCTCCTGTGTGAGTCCTCTGGTGTATCACCAGGTGGGAATTCCGACTGAAAGTTTTCCCACAATATAGGCACTCATAGGGTTTCTCCCCTGTGTGAGACCTTTGATGTATCAACAGGTTGGAATTCTGACTGAAACATTTCCCACAATCCAGACATGTATACTGTTCCTCCTCTGTGTTAGTCCTCCGGTGTACTGCTAGGGTGGTGTCCTTACAAAAGTTCTTGTCACATTGAGAGCATTGGTACGTATTCCCTCCGGTGAGAGTCATTTTATCCTCAAAATGGTGTGGGCTATAGCAAAACAATTTCCCACATTTGGAACATTTATTTGGCTTTTCTCTGATGTGAATCCTTTCAGGCACAATCAGTTGCGATTTGCAATCCATACTATCCTCATAACAGGTAGCTCCGTGGGGCTTTTCCACCACTGATATTCTTGGTTTATTGGGGAGGTCAAAAATATTTTGGATCCCTTCTTGGATGATGTTTTCATTCAAGCCACTCTTTCTTTCTTCACAGAGCGAGTCTTGCATGACTGCTTGCCACACCTGGTTATCCAATTGTCCTCTCCATTGATTTCCAGATACTTCCATCTTTTTCTGAATTTGCAAATAACTTTTTCCCTTGACCTTTTTGTGGAGTGTTTCATTGAGTTCCACATACTCAATGAATTTTACTCATACTTTTTCCAGGTTGATAATCTCTTCAGTTACTATCTCTCTCTTCCATCAGAAGCTGGAACAGAGAAGTGTTTTGTTGTTTTCTGGAGGAATTGGATTTTAATTGCAGGATGGATTCATTTTCCTTTTTAGTTCTATCTTTTGATTTCACTTGGCATCTTCTTGGCACCCTCTTTTGCCTATAACAATCACATAAAAGGCTTGGTTTAATGATTGGATATAAAATGTGAAAACAAGAAGAAGCATGACAAAAGAAACATGTGAAAATGCTAGATTATGTATAAACATCAATTATGATTTACTTGTCACATAGAAGACTAGCTAGATCTAATTTTAAATATCCACACAATCGTGACATTCTCTTGTGGACTTGACTAAATCACAAATTCTTAGCCTTATAAAATTGTTATGTTCTAATATATCTGGCACACAGGAAATACAGATATATTGTGTATGTGTGTGTGTGTATATGTATATATATATATATATATATATATATATATATATATACTATATACATATATATATATATATATATATATACATACTATATACATATATACTATATATATATAGTATGCATGTAGAAAATACATTTGCATTTCAGCCTGAAAAATGTCTCAGAAATGAGTACGTTCAAACTTTTCAGCTTAATTTAGAGCAAATGTTACCCAAAGCATCTACAAGATTTAAATCACCGGTTTTGCCTATGAAACTCCTCCCTTGCCAAGAAAACATCTGAAGGATCAGATGGTGGAATGTATGTACAGATGAGGCCTTAAGGAGCAGAGGAAGTGTCACATGTGGAGATAGAACCCAGGTGTGGATGGAGTGGACATGAGAGTGAGGAATATGAATTCTGAAAAAACATTTTCTCTTGTCTTCATTTCTTTGCCTTACAACAAACAACTAAGAGCTTTGCTCCTTCCTATCTTCTCTCACTGCAGAAGGAGGCGGGGGTCGCGGGGGGGTGGAGGTGCTGCCTTAGACAAAGACTTAAAACTGCTTTTATTTTTCTCTACGGAAGAAGCAGGGGGGGTTGCAGGGGGTGCTGCCTTGAGCTGCTCTGCTATAGCACCTTACCTGTTAGAAAACCACTAGCCAGGATATTAGACACAAGAATAGTTTATAAGAAAATCCCCCAAACCACATAGCTGGCACACTTTGCAAGATACCCATGATCTGGGGTGAAAAACAGGTGATATGACATTTAGCTATTTGGCATAACAAGCATAAGGGTTTAGGGGGCTGAAGTCCAAATAACCAATCAATATCTGTTATGCATGCATTATTAGGGGAAAGGGTTGAATGCAACCCTTGACTATAAAAATTGCTATAACATTCTAATCCAGGCCCTTGGTTAGCATTTCGAACTAGGGTCTTTATATCTTGGTACCAAAATAAAAGTATAATTCTGTATCACACCTTGTGTCCGGTGACTTATCAGCTTCGACACCAAGCAAGAGCCCAGTTTCGGGGACAACACATCACGCTCATAAAAAGCACAAGGAGTCAACTCTAAAGTCAAGGAGACTTTTAAAATCTTCCAACCGGCAGAAAATTGCAGGCACCACTTTATTCTAAAGCCGGCAGCTGTACCACTTGGAATCTGAATGAGACATTTAAATCTCCCAACCAGAAGAAAAACGAAGGGACCTATTTCAAATCACACAGGAAGAGTGGAATAAAATTTGGGGAGGGAAGGAATAAATAAATAAATAGCAGCGACCCTAAAGTGAACAAGACTTTTAAAATCTTTTTAAAATCTCCCAACCAGCAGAAGATAAAATAAAATAAAATTTGGGGAGGGAAGGAATAAATAAATAAATAGCAGCAACTCTAAAGTGAATGAGACTTTTAAAAACTTTTTAAATCTCCCAACCAGCAAAAGATAAAATAAAATTTGGAGAAGGAAGGAAGGAAGGAAGGAAGGAAGGAAGGAAGGAAGGAAGGAAGGAAGGAAGGAAGGAAGGAAGGAAGGAAGGAAGGAAGGAATAGCAGCAACCCTGAAATGAACGAGACTTTTAAAATCTTTTTAAATCTCCCAACCAGCAGAAGATAAAATAAAATAAAATTTGGAGAAGGAAGGAAGGAATAAATAAATAAATAGCAGCAACCCTAAAGTGAACGAGACTTTTAAAATCTTTTTAAAATCTCCCAACCAAATAAAATTTGGGGAGGGAAGGAATAAGCAGTAGCCGATATATTTCAGCCTAGTAGTTGCTTCTCTGCTTTTACACCGTGGAGGAAACCTACTTGGCTCCCGGTCTCTCCTCCGACCTCTCCTGAACGTGCCGTCTGAACGTGCTGCAGCTGCTGCTGCTGCTCCTTGGATCCTGGGAAGAACCGGAGAGCCGCCACTCTACCTACACACCCCTCCCCATGGGTGAGCCGGAAGAGGAAGTTAGTTCCTCTTACCTTCTCGTCTCCTCTTTGTTCTCTCTAGCAATTCGATACTCGATGGTTTCACCACCAATTCAATTCAATCGTTCCCTCTGACATTGGATAGCGGTGCTTGAACAGTCACCTATATATCTGATGCATTGACAGTTTTCTTTTTCTTTTATTCTTTTTTTTAAAAAAAAAATATATACATCCAACTTGTGTGTGGACAGAGTTGGTTTTGGGTAATCATTCATGTTAATCCAACTCGCAGTAACCATATTAATAATCTCTTATCACATTTGTCAAAGTTAGGTAATCCTCATTATATTGTTTAAACATACATAAACAAAAAAAATGCCTAACTCCTCATCTTTATCTCTATTTTTATCTATATTTTTCTTGTCCAATCTAAACATTTCTCTATTGTGTATAGGCAAAGTTGTTTCTGGGTATCATTCATATTAATCCAATTCATGCTAACAATGTTAATAATAATAACTTTATTGTCATTGTACGTTTATACACAACGAAATTCACTTAACACCCAAAGACCATGTCCAACACACATAACAATCCCTAAACACACTCCCACCCACCACAATTCCCCACCCCTAAACCACCCAAACATCCACCCAAGTAATACTGCCTAACAGCTCACTGACGGTGGTTCTTTAGTTCATTGTTGAGTGCAATTACAGCTCTGGGATAAAAACTATTCAGAAAACATGTAATCTCTATCACATTTATCAAATTTAAGTAATCCTCATATTATTTAAATATACATTAAAAAATGCCTAATGTGTAAACTTTTATAATTTTTAATCATTCTATAAAAAATTATATTCTAATATTTCCCCTAATTTTATTTCTGCCTCTTTCAGCTTACAATCAGGCTACTTTAATATTTAAAGGGCAATTATTCCTATCACGTTGACTGTTTTCTAAGCGCAGGTGTTCTATCCATCCATCCATCAATAAATAAATCTGAGCTAGAAACTTTGTATGCAAGAAGTGAGAACTAAACCAAGGGAAAGCATTCTTCGGGGGTGGGGGTGGGAGAACGTTGTGTAAAAAATGAACAACAAACCACACCTCCCTTGGAGAATCAGGGAAGACTGTTCTTGGGGTGCAGGATAACTCCTCAAAAATGTACCTTGGCAGCTGAGGGAAGCTTGAAAAGGTACAGTTAGATGCAACTTAGCTGCACAACATTAGCCAGATACTGGGTGCTAAACGTTTGTGAAAGTTTTGTTTTTGTACACAGCTCCTAAACCTAAAGGATAGCCTAAATAACAATGGAGTCCAGAATTATGATCCTTTGTCATTAAGCAAGGCACCCATGCAATCCCGGGTCTCCCCATTGCAGTCATTATGTGGAGAAGGGGTGCCAAGGGAAGGGAGAGGCCTGGGTTGCTGAATGAATTAAGTCAAAGATTACTTGTTGACTTGCAAGTCTAAAAAGTACAAGCCAGGTCAGCAAAAGGAAGTATTTTAAGCCACAAATTTGCCACTTGTGGAATTTTATCTAAAATCAAACTTTCCTGTTGTTCACACGTTACATGTAAATGGTATCTTCTAATTTGATCGCTTACTTTATGATGCATCACATATGCCAAATACATGTATCATGTTTCTGCACCCTATAAAAACTCCTCCCCCCCCCCCATTTAAATGCTTTTTCTCTGCCTGAATTACTTGGTGATTTGTATTTTCAGAAACCCCTTTGCAAAGGTAAAAGTGTCTCTCTCAAATTCAGGCAACAGTTGTCTACGCCAAACTTCGGAGTGCCCGTGTTTCGAGGTTTGCAAACGGTGATCGCCGACTGCAGAATGCTGTGACCATTATGTGTGCGCCAGTTGTCGCACCCAAATCACTGTGGCAATCACACCTTCAAGGACCAGGTATAAGTCTCCTTTCTCAGAGTCATAACGGTCGTTAAACAAGTGGTAAATGAGGACTACCTATACAACTGAACATCTCAAATAATTCTCAATTTTAAAAACAGGTTAAGGGTTAAACTGAATCTGGTTAATTAATACATGGATGGGACACCACCAGGAAATCCCGTTTGGATGGGAAAGTAAGAAAAAATAATAATCCCAGAAGCCAGTGGTAGCAGATCAGTCCCAGATTGTTGCCAAGAAAACAACATGTCAATAAAATAACAAGAAGTCAATTCTACCTTGAAGGAGACTTTTTAAAATCTCCCAACCCACAGAAAATTGCAGGCAGCAGTTTTAAAGCTTGCAGCACCAGTGGAATTAAATCTGGAGTGGGAAGGGATATGTAGCAGCTTCTCTGCTTTTACACCAAGGTGCAAACCCTGCAGCCCTGCTTGCTCCCAGCCCTTTCCTCCAATCTGTCCTCCACTCACCTTCTAGCTGCTGTTGCGACCCTGGGAAGAACAAGAGTGCCACCCTGCATGCCATCATCCTCCCAGGGATGAGCAGGAAGAGGAAGTTCCTCTGGTCTTCTCTACTCCGGCATCCCCTCTAGTCACTTAATACTTGATGGTTTCAAATTCCTTTTAACTCGTTACCAATGGGCTACTAGTGTAGACAGCTTATCTAGGCGCGTGCGTTGTTCATTTCTACAGCGCCATCTAGTGACAGATGGCTGAAAAACACCTTTGCCCGATCTCTCTCCCCCCCTCCCCCCCCCAGGGGCGTTTGAAAAGGTTTTTTTATTATTATGTTTCAGCCGATTGTTTTCGATCCCCACCGATCACATCGATAGATTTTTCTCCGCGACGATCTGCCCCCTAAACCTTTTCTAGTTTTGGGTATACGAACCTAACCTAAGAGTCGTTTGCTGAGATGGGCGGCTATAGAAATCAAATAAATGAATAAATAAAATAATAAATAAAAAAATAATATATGCAAAGTACACTGCGAATGTTTAATAAAGTTTCCCCAGTTTGAATTTGCAGCAGTACAACTCCCATCACCCACAGCCAGCGCCACTTTAGAATTATTGGAATGACACACACAACCAGTTTTTAGTGCAATTGATCTAAAAGAGGTTTAATAAAATTGTCAACGGGAGGGGAAAACCCACGAAAACTAAAAATCCATGTCTTGTATTATTGACCAGCCCACAAAATCTACACAACATTGGGTGTCCCTAAATTACTCTTGGCATCTCGGGAGGTGCCATCTTTTGAGTTATAACTGAAAGAAGATTAGGGAGGAAAGTTAAATACCAAAAGATAAAGAGTAGTATGTAAGAAAGAAATACATCTTGATCTTCTTGAAGAGCTGTGATATGGAGCCAGGGGAAAAAAAGGTCTTGGGTCAAGGAGAATTCATTTATTTTAATTCTTTTATTTATTTTAATTCAAGAAGATGACGACGTTGCAAACTATTGATTGCAGAGGTTGTTCCAGAACTTTTAGCTCATCCTTCTTCAAATCCAGTCGTAATTTTCTCTCCATCTCCCTCTAGGAAGGAGGTTCTTGCTTTCCATTTTTCATGCTGTCTAGTATAAAAAATGTTTTCCTGCAAGATGAGATCCCATGTTTTCCTGGCCTATACAAGTAGTCTCGACTCACAACTGTTCATTTAGTGACCGTTTGAAGTTACAACGGCACTGAAAAAAGTTGAGTTGTGACAATTGTTTCACGCTTATGACCGTCATGTGATCAAAATTCAGTTCCTTGATAACTGGTTCATATTTATGACAGTTGCAGTGTCCTGAGGTCATGGGATCACCCTTTGTGACCTTCTGACAAGCAAAGTCAAGGAGGAAGCCGGATTCACTTGAGAACTGTGTTACTAATTTAACAACTGCAGCGATTAAAAATCGAAAAATGGGGCAAAACTCCCTTAACAAATTTCTCACTTAGTAACATAAATTCCGTGCTCAATTGTGATCATAAGTAAGGACTACCAATACTGTATCTATGGGTAGTCCTCAATTTATGACTGGATGCTTAACAACCATTCAGTTTTGATGGACCTCCCCAAGATAACTTAGGATTCAGATCCAAAGTTCTAACAAATCACCCCCAATTAACATGATCCCATTTGGGGTACTTGGCAACCAGCTCACATTTGATTGTTTGCAGTATTCCAGAGGTCACATGACACCTGGTCTACCCCAACATGTGGGAGGGGGCATTCTGCTCCCTTTCGCCTTTCAGCTCCAATCCAGGAGCCCTCAAGCAGTCGCATTCACAAATCATTTTATACCAAATTTATATTTTGCTGATAAAGAAATAAAGGGAGACTACTATAGATCTATTTCAAGCTTTTTAGCTTTCATCAGCTAGCCATACCCTTACTTGGATTCGAACTTGGCCTTCCTGCATGTTAGGCAGTTGAATTAACCTTCTGAGCCACAAGTTCTCCTCTCCACAGTTCGCCCAAGCTGATGATATATATTATATATATATATTACTAAAAACCAGCTTTTACTTCTGGTTTCCAGCAAAAAAAAACCCACACCCATTGCAGACAATGGATTTGCTTTAACTACTGTAGCTTTTGTTTAACGACAGTAAAAAAAAATGCTGTAAAGTCAGGTGTGGTTACAGGGTGTCCTGCTTGGAGACCAGGCTGATTTACAACTGTAATTCTGGGCTCAATTACAGTCGTAAGTCAAAGACTGCTTGTACTGTCATTCTAATATGTTATCATCTAAACTTACCAGTTCATGCAATTTCCTTCAGGCTACCTTTGCTATCAATATAGACACGTGGAAATGGTTTAAAAGATCTACTTTTCAGAAAGCAGGAAAACACTGTTACTAGCCTATGTGGAACTTGCCTCTCAAAACACAGGTGAGGGTTGTTTTTGTTTTTTTTAAATTTAACGGAAAAGAATAACGGAGTTGGAAGGGACCTTGGAGGTCTTCTAGTCCAACCCCCTGCCTAGGCAGGAATTTAATTTCAATCAATCAGAATAGAGCTGGAAGGGAACTTAGAGGTCTTCTAGTCCAACCCCCTGCTCAAGCAGGAGACTCTATAGTATTTCAGGCAGGTGACTGTCCAGTCTCATCTTAAACACCTCCAGTGATGGAAGTACCCACAATTTCCGAAAGGAAAGCTGTTCCACTGGTTAATTGTCCTCACCATTAGGAAGTTTCTACTCAATTCCAGGTTGCTTCTCTGTTTGATTAGTTTCCATCCATTGTTTCTTGTCCCTGCCCTCTGGTGCTTTGGAAAATAAATTGACCCCCTCTTCTTTGTGGCAGCCTCTCAAATACTGGAATACTTTAATTTAATTTAATGGAGGAAGGAATTTTCTAATATTGAGAGCTATTCAGCTCTACAATACAGGGGTGAAATCCAGCAGGTTCTGACAGGTTCTGGAGAATCAGTAGCGGAAATTTTGAGTAGTTTGGAGAACCGGCAAATACCACCTCTGGCTGGCCTCCGAGTGGGGTGGGAATGGAGATTTTGCAATGTCCTTCCCCTGCCACGCCCACCAAGCCACACCCACAGACCGGTAGGGAAAAATTTTGGATTTCATCCCTGCTATAATCCCATTATTATCTTGAGTGGTCCAGCCATTTCCCGAACAGTTATGACTAAGCACCTGTACTACTCCTGATCCTGCTGGACTCTAATCCCCATCATCCTTGAAATTCACTGCCTGAGGCAAATGTTAGTGAAAATACAGCAACAACTGGAGAGGCCAGGTCTCCCCATCTCAGCACTACTGGAAGAATTTGCAAAGGCGGGAAAAGAGAAAACATCCTTGCCATGAATTCTTCCATATGATTTAACTTCAGATTGAAAATTTTAATATCCTTCTTTTGAACATGAATTGGAAGCTAGGGATAGTACATCCATGAAAAAAAACAACAACATTAAGTGTATAGAACCGTGATGGCAAACCAATGGCACGCATGCCCAAAGTGGCACGCGAAGCCATGTCGCCCAGCACACGCAGCCTTGCCTGTTTATCTTCCAGGTTTCTGGCATCCATGCACGCACAACAATCAGCTGTCCTTCGCACACGCGGCACTGCTGAAAACTGGTGTGCACACACATGCTGGCCAGTTGATTGTTGAGCGCACATGCATGTTAGAACCCGGAAGTTCGGCTTTTCCGGAGTGCGGCCTCGACAAGCACAATGTTTCCACGTGACTTTTTTGGCACTCGGTGCTGAAAAGGTTCGCCATCACTGGTATAGAAGAAACATCTCACGGAGACCGCAAATTTAGCTCCTTGACATGCTACTTTTCAGTGAGCATGGAGATTTGGAATTATTTTATGGAAAAACCTCCGTGCGACCTCTCATGTTAGGAACAGTTTTATCAATTCTATTATTCATAAGAGCTAAGCCCACCGTTTTCTTGCCACAGGCATTTGGGCCTAGTGAGAACTGATGTTTTACTACTAAGTTGCCCAATACACAGCTTTTCCCTGGGACGAGTTCTTTAATACTTCATCCTGTACTGAACCTTCACAACATTTATTCCTGAGTGGGTTCAGCAGACAGGATTGTGAGGTTTTCAGGCTGTAACCTCGTGCGAGCTATAAAGGAAGCCCCCCCAGTCTGTGTGTTAATCAGTTTTCTCCTGCACTGATTCACTTGGGTTTAAGAAAATAAGGTCCTGAACTGAGGATTCTTCAACAGCCGGAGAGTACAGGCTCAGTCCGTTGTGGGTCCTGCTGTGTCGAACGAGGTGTGACCTGCGGTTGAAACTTTTCCCACAGTCCGTGCAACAGTACGGCTTTTCTCCCGTGTGAATTCTTTTGTGCCTGGTGAAATGAGACTGCCAGTTGAAGCTCTTTCCACATTCGGGACATTTAAACAGTTTCTCCTCTTTCTGGAAAAGCGACGGGTCGCTGTAATTTTTCTCACGGTCCAGGCAGTCAATCGGTTGGCCTCCTGAAAAGACCACCTGGCGTGTGTTCATGATGCTTTTAAACAAGGGGCTTCGGGTGTAGCTGGTCTCTCTATCCAGACATTGAAACAGCGGTTCCTCTGCCTGGGTGCCTTCCTGTGGATTGATTCCAGTGATTAGGAGTGAACAATGGCCATAGCTTGTCTCGCTGTTGGGCCATTCGTACAGCTGGTCCCCTACTTGTGTGGGCCTGCTGGGGTTCAGCCCCGCAATAAAGATCGAACTGTGGCTGTAATCTTTTTCACTTTCTGAGCCCGGATAAGCCTGGCCCTCTGCGTGGGTCTGCTGGTGGGGACTCAGCCCTGCAATAAAGAGTGAGCTGCTGTCGTAGACTGTCCTGCTTTGTAGCCCTCCACGCGGCACGTCAGCTAAGTGGGTCGCCTCGTGAGTGCTGAGGTGTGATTTGCGGTTGAAGCACTTCCCGCAGGCCGAGCATTTGTACGGCTTCTCTCCGGTGTGGATCCTTTCGTGCCGCAGGAGTTCGGAGGTCTGGCTGAAACTTTTCCCACAGCCTGAACAGGAATAGGGCTTCTCTCCCGTGTGGATCCTTTCGTGCCGCATCAGTTTCGCCGCCTGGTTGAAACTTTTCCCGCAGCTCAAACAGGTGTAGGCATTCCCCACTCGGTGAGTGGTCTCGTGCCGAGCCAGGTTGGATCGGAGGCTAAAGATTCTCCCGCACTCCCCACATCCATACAGTTTCTTCTCCGCGTGGGTCCTCTGATGCCTGTTTAGTTTGGATTTCTCGATGAAGCTTTTCTCGCACTTGCCGCACTTGTACGGCCGTTCCCCAGTGTGGGTCCGCTGGTGCGTCACCAGATGCGACTTCCAGTTGAAGCTTTCTCCACAAACGGGGCAGATGAATGGCGTCTCTCCGGTGTGCAGCCGTTTATGCGCCAGGAGAGATGAGCTTTGGGTGAAGCATTTCCCGCAGTCTGCGCAGGAGTAGGGTTTCTCCCCCGTGTGGATGTTCTCGTGCCGAATGAGGGTTGAGGCATGGCTGAAGCTTTTCCCACAATCCGAGCATTTGTATGGCCTCTCTCCCGTGTGGGTGATCCCATGTCGGATGAGGTCGGACCTGAAGCTGAAGCTCTTTCCGCAGTCGAGACAATTGTAGGGCTTTTGTCCCGAGTGGGTCCTCTGATGCCGGTTACGATTCGACCTTTCGGTGAAGCTTTTCCCGCAGTGGATGCACTTATAGGGCTTCTCGCCCGTGTGGATCCGTTTATGGGCCAAGAGGTTGGAAGCCTGAGCGAACGTCTTCCCACATTCATTACAGGTTCTTGGGATCTTGGATCTGCGCCTGGTCTTTCCAGGTGCACCTTGGCCCGGAGGCTGGGGGACCTGGGTGTAAGCCGCAGAGCTATCTCTTCTCTTTGCTAAATGGTATTGTCGCTGCCTCTCTGCGTTGAGATGTTTCACCGTTGGCTCTCCCAGAGATGTTCCAATTTGTTGATTTTGGTGATAGTTTTGCCCTGACACATCTTCCTTCTCCTCATGGATCTGCCCATCACCTGCTAAATAAAACAAACAAACAAACAATTGGTATATGAACATAATCCCAGCAGGCTGGAAAAGAAAATCCTTCAAGAGGAATTAATTTTTGCTAACCTGTTTCTACAAGGATTATTTTTCAGGATGTGTCCTTGGTCCCCACCATGTGGGTTACATTTCTTAGAACAGTCACACTGATTTTCTAAGATTGGATATTCTAGATTTTTTCACTGAGGGTCCTTGGTGCTCTCTGAGGTTGGTTTTTTTTTTTGTCTTCAGGTGTTTCATTACTAAAACTACGTAACATCAGAGTTTTTTCATTCTACCTTTTATAGGTATTGCCAGTAGTAACTTTCATCCTGTTTTTTTAGTTCCAAGAAAATTTGGCTTGTTGGTTCCATAATAGATCAGTCAAAAGCTCAAATTAGGAGCAGATGATGTGCAATTCGGTACCGTATTTTTCAGAGTATAAGACAGAGTATAAGAGGGTGAAAATCTGGGTGTGTCTTATACTCTGAATGTAGCCCCGCCCAGCTTCTAAAACGGAGGTTTCAGAGGCTGAAAAAAGCATCAGAAACGAAGCTTCAGAAAAGAAGCCCCCAAACAGAGCTTCAGAGGCTTTTTTTCTGAAGTTCTGTTTCGGAGGCTTTCAGGGACAGAAAAAAAAAGCAAGGCACAGAGCTCACAACCAAGGAACCTGTTGCTAAAATACACCTCTGGAAACAGCTGATTGGGGGTATTCCGGGAGGCCGATCCACCTGCCAATCAGCCTTTTTCTTATTTTCCTCCCCAAAAACTAAGGTGCGTCTTATACTCCGGTGCATCTTATACTCTGAAAAATACAGTAGTTCAATGTTTCTCAAGTTCAGTTATGTTAAGATATGTGGACTTCAATGTGGAATTCTCCAGCCAGCATAAGCTAGCTGGGGAATTCTGGGAACTGAAGTCTACACATCTTAAAGTAGCCAAGGTTGAAATAGACTGTTCTAAAGTATTTCTAGTTAGTACCACCTACCGTTCTCTTGCATGCCACTTTCGTAGAGACTCCTTTGACCTGCATCCAGTAATAGTCCTTGATCCTCTGGGAAATACATAGCAACTTCTTTGAAATTCACCGGCATCTGAAAGACAAAAGGCACCGTCCATTCAATCTTTGCACCATGTCTCATGTTGAGATCCACTTGCCTCTAAAAGATTAAGGCCATGGTTACAGAAGCACGAATTTTCAGAAGCTGTAGTTGCTTCGTAAATCTTTGAAAACCTGGCTCTGTTCTCAGGTCTGGCTTTAAACTGTATTTTGGACTTTGCAAATCACCAAAGTTTCTAGGAGTGGGACAGTTGTAAATCAATGCTTCCCAAACGCTGCCTTCATTCCCTAAAATCTTTTATCAGTCTTATCAAACTTGAGGACAAATTTAAGATCTTTCCTTCAGCACCATCATAACTTTCGGTGGTCATTCAACGAATGGTCATAATTCAAGGACTACTTGTGTAATAAAAACGGTATCATTGAATGATCTTTATGTCATTTCAATTGATTATCACGTTTGGAAAATGCACCTTTCATGGCAATTTTGTGGATTTTCATCCCAATAGGAATACTCTGGGAAATTTTTGAATATTGTTTACTATACTTTTAAGTCAATTTGAATATCCCTATTGTGATGGGGAATGGGTTTGGGTCATTACACAAAGAAAAATTAGATTTACCTTATTTTGAGTAATTTACTCACATTTGGGAAGCACTGATATAAATCATCATCAGAAAGCCAGTTTGTTCTAATGAGCGAGGCACCAGGCTAGAAGCCCGGAGACTGTGGGTTTAGGCCCCGCCTTAGGCATGAAGGCAGGCTGGGTTTAGGCCAACCACTAGGAGACAGTGAATTCTAGTCCCGTGTTTGCCACCTTCAGTTATTTATCAAAATAATAAAGGTGACAAAATAATAAAGGTGAAATATGAATAAAAAATCATCGTCATCATCCCTCACAGAAGTATTTTAGTAATACTGCACACTTTTTCTTTTAATTATTTTAGTGGAATGTAGTCGATTGAAATAAAAATACAGTAATCATAATACAATAAAATGTAACTACATTATAAAGTTATTAAAATGAATATAAAAGGGAAGCCCCCATGTATTTCTAATAGAGAATGAACACAATCTTTTAATTTATTAAATATCACTCACATTGCTCCATTTTTTTCCTCTCATCCCTCTGATTTTTGTTTTTCTCAGAGCTTAGTGATGCTCCTTTCTGTATGTGGATGATGTCATTTTGGCTGCATAAAGATCTACATTTAGAGCCCGAGTGAGCAATGCAACAGTCCTGGTATTTAGGATAGTGCTATAGATAGCAATCTACCAAAATAAACAAAAATAAGAGAAGGAAATCTCCTATTTCAGCAAGGATGACATCTCTGTAGCTACGTTGTAAAGCATACCATCTTCATTCATTTAAAGGCTATGTGCAATTGGGTCAGTTCCCAAAATAGCTATGGAATACAGGTAGTCCTTGATTTACGACGGTTCATTTAGTGACCATCTATGGAGATTCTCAGTCATCCAGGTCATAGTTGTCCCAAAGGTGCTTTTTCAAGAGGCAACTGGACTTTGTTTTTTTCTTTGAAGACATTTCGCTTCTCATCCAAGCAGCTTCTTCAGTTCTGACTCTGAAGAAGCTTCTTGGATGAGAAACGAAACGTCTTCAAAGAACACAAGAAAGTCCAGTTGCCTCTTTTATTTCAACAAGCTGGGCTGGCTTAACTCTTTTTAATTTTTTTTTTCTTTTTAATTGTTTAAGTTTAATTTGTTTTTAAAAAACAGGGGTATTTTAATTAGTTTGGGTCAAATTTATTTAATATGTTTTAAATTGTTTTTAAATTTTATATTGTATGTGTTTTATCTTGGCTGTTCACCGCCCTGTGTCCTTCGGGAGTAGGGCAGTATATAAATCTAAATAAACTGCAACTGCAACTGAAAAAGCACCTTTGCATCATTTAGTGACCGTTTGAAGTTACAACAGCTCTGAACAGCTCGAGTTATGACCATTTTTTACATTTACAGCCATTGCAGCATTCCCATGGTTACATGACCAAAATTCAGACACTTGGCAAACTAGCTCATATTTATGATGACTGTAGTGTCCCAGGGTCACGTGATCTCCTTTTGTGACCTTCTGACAAGCGAAGTCAATGAGGGAAACCAGATTCACTTAACAGCTATGTTTGTAGTGATTTACTTAACAACTGGGGCAATCAAAGTTGTAAAACGGGGCAAAACTCACTTAACAACTGTCTTAACAACAAAAATTTTGCTCTCAATTGTGGTTGTAATTCGAGGACGTGTATTTAGTAGCATTTCACCTGCTCACAGATTTACAGCAAAAAAAACCCCTGACATATAGAGGTAGGTACCCGATCATTTGCCTAAAAATGTGGCCTGATAACACATTTTTTTTTAAACAAGTTTTATTGGGTTTTTTCTCCTCTCCCACATTCACCCACATCTTTTTTTTTTTTAACAGTGTTGGCCGTTTCTTATCTTATGCAATTAATCAAATTCAAATACTCAGTTACAATTCTTGCCAAAATCGTCTTTCCCCCTTTTCTTTTCTTTTTTAAACATATCTCAATATTTCTATACTTGCATACATAAACACCATCTTCATTTGTCCCTAAATTCTAACTTTACTGTTTATTCATATTTATTCTCTTTTATTCTTAAACAATTCATTCTTTATCTTATTTATATTTGTTTATTTATTTATTTATATTTGTTTGTTCGGCACTGCCTTTCTTCCACTTCATCTTTTTTATTGTACAGCAATCTTTCTCCTCAAACCTACCCAAAGTGATAACACACTTTGACTGACTAAATCAAACTTCCTTGTACTGCAGTTTTCCAAAACTACAAAACAAACCTTGCACTCGCACTTATGACCATCGTAACACCCCTGTGGTTCATGTGTGATCACAAGTCAAGCATTTGGCATCAAAGCTTGCATTTATGACGTGCTGTGCGTTCAGAGATCGCAATTTGCAACGTTCTATTTTCATCCAAAGCTGGATTCACCTAACCCCCAAATAATTTGCTTAACTGCAGTGATCCACTTTATGACCATGGTAAAAATAGTCATAAAGTCAGGTGATACTCAGCTTACAACCATCTTAAGTTATGATGGAAATTCTGGTTCAGATTTGTCTATGGAGATTCTCAGTCATCCAGGTCACGGTTGCCACAATTGCCTCATTTTTTAATGAGGCAATTGGACTTTCAAAGAAAAACCAGAAAGTCCAATTGCTTCTTGGGGGAAAAAAAAACCACTTTTGGGTCTGGTTCAGATTATGGTCGTAAATCGAATACTATCTGCATTTTTTGCATGAGAAAATTTGGCCCATGTTTTAGGCGGGAGGAAGGTAAGTTTCTCTAAATAAGAGCATCCCACAGCAAACAATGCAACTGCCCTAATTAATTCGACACCGAAGATTAATTTTACCGAACTGGCCAACATCTGGATGATTTATAATGCTGCTTTTGTTGCAGACATGCAAACATCCTGGGATTTCACCAAGAGATTGCCAAATTCCAGAACAAAGCTGACCCGGCTCTTGTACTGCAATAATTGGTTCGAATCTCTCCAAGGCTCAAGGTTGACTCAGCCTTCCATCCTTTCTAAGGTAGGTAAATTGAGGACCCAGTTTGTGGGGGCAATAAGCTGACTTTATATAAATATACAAAAGTATGAAGGCTATTGCTTAACGCATTGTAAGCCGCCCTGAGTCTCCGGAGAAGGGCGGCATATAAATCAAATTAAAAAAAAAAAAAAAAAGCGAATTTGCGCTTCTGAACCCAAATCCTCAAGAGGGCAAAAGAGGCGGAGAAGGCATGCAAGAGAAAGAAGGGGGGGCTGATGGGATATGAAGTCCTCTCCTCGTTAGAGCCGAGGCACTTGCCCAGAGACTACAATGCCCATTCTCCAAAAGCGCTGCAGAAGGTAGGGAGGGAGGGAAAGGAGGAGAAAGCGCACTGCCAAGGGGTGCAGAATCAGGGTGGGGGGGGGCTTTGTTTCCTTTGGACCAAATCCACGTTGGGGAACAAGATCGAACCCCGGGATAACAAAAAACCAACAAACCGAGAACCGAACCCCCCGATTCGCCATCGGACACCTGGGAAGGCGGACTTACTTTTTGCAAGATCGGCATTCGGGACGGCTTGTTGCATTGCAATTTTAAAAACTGAAAGGGTGGGGGGACTGACTCTCTTCTCCCCCCTCCCCCCTCCCCCCACCCCTCCATGCAGGCACAGGGGCTTCGTGCAGAGGAAACCCCCCCCCCTTCGCATGGACCTCTTGCAAGTGACTTTTTTGGGAGGGGAGGTGGGGGGAGGGGGGAAAGGGGAAAAGTCCATACCTCGCACGCGGGGATTCTCACTTCGCAGGGCTCCGCCAGGCGATTCGGCGGGCGGGAGAAGGGCCCCGGGCAGGGCTGGCCGAATAAACAGAGCTGGGAGGAAGAAGAAAGGGAAGCGGAGGGGAAGGAAGCGAAAGGGAGGGGCCTCTTATGATAGGGAGGGCGGGAGGGAGGGCGCGCGCCGCCTCTTTCGGTCCCGAGCATGCTCGCGCGCCGCCCCCCGAAGCTCGCGCGCCCTTCCCTTTTGCCCACAGTTGGCCCTTTGTTGTTGTTTTGATCACGTGCCTCCTTCCCCGCCTCCTCCTCCTCCTCCTCTTCCTCTTCCCGGGTTTCCCCCCCACCCCACCCCGTAGTGTGTTTGCATTCGCGGGAGGGGAGAGAGAGGGGGCAGGGGAGGGAGAACGAATGGGAAACAAATACATCCGTCGATGTCGCGTTGCTTTTGGAGCATTTTTACTACGGATAACTGCTTCGTTTGCTTTTACCAAGTGTGTTTTCTTTTAACAGGTTATCCAATGCATGAATCTCTCTCCCTCTCTGCCTCTATTTCCAGCCATCCAACATCTATCTATCTATCTATCTATCTATCTATCTATCTATCTATCTATCATCTATCATTATTGTGAGATTTAAACTTCCCAAATTTTTTTATCTATCTATCTATCTATCTATCTATCTATCTATCTATCTATCTATCTATCTATCTATCTATCTATCTATCTATCTACCATTATCTATCATTATCCATCATCTATCTATCTATCATTATCATTATCCATCTATGATCATTATCTATTATCTATCATCTTTCAATCATTATCATTATCTATCATTATCTATCATTTTCTATCTATCTTTATCAATCATTATCTATCATCTATCTATCAATCATTATCATCTATTATCTATCAGTCATTATCATCTATCATTATCATCATCTAGCTATCATTATTATCTATCATCTATAACAATCATTATCATCTCATCTATCTATAATTATCATTTTCTATCATTTTCTATCTATCAATCATCTATTTATCATTATCATCTATCTATCATTATCTATCATCTATCTATCATTATCTATCATCTATCTATCTACTGTAGGAAGCCCTCCCCCCCACTCCTAGAAGAATGAAATATTTTGGGAAATTTTAAAAGGGCAGGATAGAATATTTCCCCTGAATGAGAAATGAAAAAAAAAAATGTTAAGGGAGACAGAAACCAGCCTCAGTCTCCCTTCCCCAAGCAGAAACTGAGAAGGCCAGCTTTTAGAAATGCAGATTTGGTAATCCATTCAGAAAGACTGGGCTAATCTATTCACAAACACCTTCAGGAATTAAGATGGGATTAAGAAAAGACAGGACATGATCTCAACTCCATTAAGAAAAGTGGAAACAATACTGGTCCATTAAGAAGGGCAGGCTAGAGGCAATAGATAACAGGATTAGGACGAAGGAACTAACAATTAAGACCCATCATGAGCCTTTGCCAAATAAGTAAAACCAATCAAATAATATACCAATCAAACACACAAAGCAAGCCTCCAGATTACAGAATGCTGTAAAAATTGTATAAAAGCCGGATGTACAAGAAAAACCAGTTGTTCAGCTGACCCAGAAGGTTCTGCTTCATCAATAAATGGGGCCACTTTCCAATCAGCCTCCAGCCACCCCTTTTATTTCCAGTGCCTTCCTCCCGGCTTGGAACTATCTATCTATCTATCTATCTATCTAGCTAGCTAGCTAGCTAGCTAGCTAGCTAGCTATCTAGCTAGCTATTACTATCTCTAGCTAGCTATCTCTACTATCTATCCATCCATCCATCCATCTCTCTCTCTCTCTTCTATATCTATCTATCTATCTATCTAGATTATATCTCCGAGATAAGAGATATAAGAAATATATAGATATAATCTTTCATGCATTGGAAGGGACCTTGGAGGTCTTCTAGACCCTATACCCGTGATGGCAAACCTATGGTACATGTGCCACAGGTGGCACGCAGAGCCATATCTGTGGGCACGCGAGCATTGCCCTAGCTCAGCTCCAGTGCGCATGATTTTTTGGCCTTCCGGGCCCACCGGAAGTTGAGAAACGGCCTCTGGAGGCCCTCCAAGGGGGTGGGAAAGGCCATTTTTGCCATCCCCAGGCTCCTAGAAAGGCTCTGGAGCCTGGGGAGGGTGAAAAATGAGCCTACTGGGCCCACCGTGCCATCACGTGCCAAAAGCGGGGGCAGCATGGGGAGGTCATGCGCGCATGCCTGAGGGTGCGGGGAGGGCTTTGAATTATGGGTATGGGCACATGCGCACACAACCCCCCCACTCTCCCCCCACTTTTGGCACGTGACAGCGAAAAGGTTAGCCATCCCTGCCCTATACCATTCCGGACAAATGGTTGTCAAATCTCCTCTTAAAAACTTCCAGTGTTGTAGCACCCACAACTTCACTGATTAATTGTTCTCACTGTCAGGAAATTTAATAATTTATTTTAAGTGTCTGCTTTTGAATCAGTCTTGACTCCTGGTGATTACATTGGGCAGGTTCCTGAAATTTTCTCGGCAACATTTTTCAGAAGCAATTTGCCTTGGTGCCTTCTTCCTAAACTTAGTCCTAAACTAAGATTAGAACTCAGTTTTCCCTAATCCAGTGCCAAACTGACAGTCATTATTTAGGCTTAAAATTATTAAAATCCATTTTATTTATTTATTTATTTATTTATTAATCAAATTTCTATACCGCCCTACTCCCGAAGGACTCAGGGCGGTGAACAGCCAAGATAAAATACAGACAATACAAATATTAAAAATCCCTTAAAATTATTAAATATTTCGGCCGAAACACAGATTAAAACACCCAATTTATAAAATCACGAATTAAAAAATTTAAAATTTAAGAATTTAAAAGAGGGGAGTTAGGCCAGGCCAGCTTGCTGAAATAGAAAAGTTTTGAGAGCACGGCGAAACGTGCGCAGGTCCGGGATCTTCCGTATCTCTGGGGGGAGCTCGTTCCAGATGGTAGGTGCCCCCACAGAGAAGGCTTTTGAGTCAAAAGTATTCAAATTCATGCTAAAGAGATTGGGCCAAGATGGGTATACAGGTAGTCCTTGATTTACAATTCTTCATTTCCCCACAAGAAGCGATCAGTTATAACAGTACTAAAAAAAGTGACTTATCACCATTTTTCACACTTACGACTGTTGCAGCATCCCCGTGGTCACGTGATTGACATTCGGATGCTTAACAACTGACTCACATTTATGACGGTTGCAGTGTCTCAAATCGCTTGGTCCCCTTTTGCGACCTTCTGACAAGCAAAGTCAGTGGGGAAGCCAGATTCACTTCACAACTGGTGTGACTAATTTAAGAACTGCAGTGATTCGCTTAACCAACCTGGCGAGAAAAGTCATAAAAGGGGGCAAAACTCACTTAACAAATTTCTCACTTAGCAACATACTAGTAAATGTTGGGCTCATCTGTGGTCGTAAATTGAGGACTACCTGTACTTTGGCAGGAGGATGCAGTTCGAATAAATGGATTTCAATGATTTTATTGAATACAAACTCTGTTTTTTGTGTTTTTAATATTATAAACCACTCAGAGTTATCTCCAGGTGAGATGGATGAATTATAAGGTGTTGGTTATTACCTTTAAAACCCTACATGGCTCAGGGCCAGGCTATCTTCGAGATCGCCTTCTACCACATAGCTCCCAGCGACGGGTAAGATCCCACAGAGTTGGTCTCCTCCGGGTCCCGTCAACTAAACAGTGCCGGCTGGCGGGCCCGCGGGAGAGGGTCTTCTCTGTGGCTGCCCCAGCTCTCTGGAACCAGTTACCTCCTGAGGTCCGGACCATCCCCACCCTATTGGCCTTCCGAAAAGCGGTGAAGACCTGGCTTTTCCGGCAGGCCTGGGGCCGTTGATCCCACTCTTGCGATCTGGTGAGATCCAGCCATGAATGGTGTGCATGTGTTTTTAACGTTTTTAAAATGCTTTTATAATGTTTTTTTTAAAAAAAATTATGTTCACTGTTTGTATTATTTCTGTTGTAAGCCGCCCAGAGTCCCTTGGGAGTTGGGCGGCATAGAAATATGAGTAATTAAAATTAAATTAAATTAAACAGTAACAAGAGTTGGAAGGGATCTTGGAGGTCATCTATTCCAACCCGCTACTCACGCAGGAGACCTGCACTAGGGATTCGAACCGCCGACCTTGCTGATCGACAAGCTAGTCAGGCAAACAAATTGAATAAATAAATTTTCACGAACTGAGGTCAAGAGAGAGACTCTTTCACCCACCTGTGCGGTGCTGGAGGCGGCTGCGGTGATATTCAGCTATACAGCCTTCCCTTCCTTCCTTCTGCCCAGTCCTGGTCCTGGTTTTTCCCCACAAGAAGTGATGTCTCGCACAGTCCCTCGATTTCGTAAACGCCGAAGGGGTTAAACCAGTGTTTCTCAACCTTGGAAGCTTGAAGATGGCTGGACTTCAACTCCCAGAATCCCCCAGCCAGCGCTGCTGGCTGGGGGATTCTGGGAGTTGAAGTCCATCTATCTTCAAGCTACCAAGGTTGAGAAACACACTGGGTTAAACGGAGCGAGCGGCCAATCCTAGACAGGCCCAGACGGGCAAAGATCTGAGAGGTGGAGAAAAAGTGCCCCCCCCCACCCCAAAAAAAAAGATTTCCCCCCCCCCCCCCGTGGCGCTTGAGGCTTTGGATCTGGCTTGCGCGATCTTGCAGGATCCTGAGCTTTGCAGATCCGGCCATGGCGAGGTTACAAGAAGAGGTGAGTTGGAGGGAAGGGGAAAGGGGGGCCATGGGAGGGGGAAAAAAAGAGAATAAACACATGGGAGGAACGAGGAAAGAAGCGAGCGAGGTTGCACCAAAAAAAAAAAAGGAAAAAAAGGCGTAAATCCCTAGGCGGAATCCGGGGGTCTCCTTTTGCAGCGCGGCCTCCCCCCCCCAGTGATGCTGAATTAATGCATAAGGATTAATGCATAAAAAAGGGGTCCAGTTTCCCTAATCCACAATTTTCTCTCATATGCACGGATTGATGGATTGATTGATTGATGGCTGGGTGCGGGGCAGGGGTGAAATCCAAAATTTTTCCCTACCGGTTCTGTGGGTGTAGTTTGGTGGGCGTGGCAGGGGAAGGATATTGCAAAATCTCCATTCCCACCCCACTCCAGGGGAAAGATACTGCAAAATCTCCATTCCCACCCCACTCCAGGGGAAAGATACTGCAAAATCTCCATTCCCACCCCACTCCAGGGGAAAGATATTGCAAAATCTCCATTCCCACCCCACTCTGGGGCCAGCCAGAGGTAGTATTTGCCGGTTCTCCGAATTACTCAAACTTTCCGCTACCGGTTCTCCAGAACCTGTTAGAACCTCTGGATTTCACTCCTGGTGTGGGGGAAAGTTTGTCCTCTGTCAGTTTTCTGATGTTGAGTTGGAGTTTATTGCTGAAGGATTGCGTTGTTGAATGCAGGCCAAACTACGGGCTCTAGAAACCGGAGGATTTTTTTTTTTTTTTAAGATTTTCTGCTTTTCTGTCTCACTGTCATCCAGATGTTCTATTATTACTATTTTCAGAGGGCCCCCATTTACTGAACTGCAGACATAACACAGTCACTTGTCTGAAATGGTGCTACAGGGTCTCCTTCTTGAGCAGGGGGTTGGACTAGAAGACCTCCAAGGTCCCTCCCAATTCTGTTATTCCAAACAAAGGCATTCCTCCAATCTGTTGTTTTAGCAACAATCTCTTCACCCACCCCCATGCAACTACACATGCCTTACCTCTAAATACCTAGTGGACAACCATTTAAATATGAGCCAGCAGTGTGCAGCAGCTGCCAGAAAAGCCAACACAGTTCTAGGCTGCATAAACAGAGGGATAGAATCAAGATCACGTGAAGTGTTAATACCCCTTTATAATCCCTTGGTAAGGCAACACTTGGAATATTGCATTCAGTTTTGGTCACCATGGTGTAAAAAAAGATGTGGAGACTCTAAAAAGAGTGCAGAGAAGAGCAACAAAGATGATTAAGGGACTGGAGGCTAAAACATATGAAGAATGGCCTTGAGTTTAACACCCTTTTTTCTTGTGGAAAAAACTACAAACTGCCACAGAGAATAATCAAGAACATCCTGATTCTCCTCTCCCCAAAGAATATCACTCTGTTGACTCATTGAGGCATATATTTTGTTTTTCCCAGAGTTCCCCGATGTAATAATAAAATTGGAACAAGGAGAGGAGAAATGGCTGTCAAGAAACGCGGAACAAGAAAGGAAAGCGTTGCTCTCACCTGGCCAAGAAAGTGAAACTACAACGAATAACACTCCAGGTAAGAAGGGAAGTCCAGTTCATCTCAAATCATTAGAAATCTTCTCCCTCATTGCAAAGGCAACAGTTTCTTGTAGAAATGAATAAAGAGGCAAGAAGATCAGGGATGGGTTTCACTTACCTTTATCACTGGTTCTGTCTGCACACGTGGCCGGCCTTCCACTCATATGATTTGCACATGCACGCTTTTCTCACATGCGCCTGGCCCATATTCTGGCCATTCAACTTTTAGGAATTACCCCAATGGAATTCTGCAGTGCTTGAACACTTTGATCTTCCAAAAGAGTTGTGGTGGCGCAGTGGTTAGAATGCAGCATTGCAGGCTAGCTCATTGCCAGGAGTCCGATCCTGACTGGCTCAAACTTGACTCAGTTTTCCATCCTTCCAAGGTGGGTAAAATGAGGACCCAGATTGTTGAGGGCAATATGCTGACTTTGTAAACTGAAATCCAGAAGGTTCTGACAGGTTCTGGAGAACCGGTAGTGGAAATTTTGAGTAGTTTGGAGAATCGGCAAATGCCGCCTCTGGCTGGCCCCAGAGTGGGGTGGGAATGGGGATTTTGTAGTATCCTTCCCCTGGAGTGGGGAGGGAATGGAGATTTTGCAGTATCCTTCCCCTGCCACACCCACCAAGCCACGCCCACAGAACCGGTAGTTAAAAAAATTGGATTTCACCACTGGTCGTAGGTCAAGGACTACCTGTACATAACAAGATGTCAGGAAAAGAATGTTATAAGGATGACAAGGCAATCAAAGAAGACACACTTTTGACTTTGGCAAAATGTCTGATCACTGCAACTGTCTCATTTCTCTGAGCAGAGCTTCCTGTTGTGATCATAAAGAAGGAAGAACAGGAAGGTCAGTGGGTGCTGTATCGCCAGGCTCCGGAAGGAAATGGGGCCTTCCCAGCTTCTCGTTCAGGTAAGAAATTTTTATTTCACAAGATGGCTAGATCTTGAAATAATGCATCACTATGTCATCAGAAAGAAGGTGAGGAAACATCAGCTTCCAGGATTGCAGAAACAAAAATTATGTAGAGAAGCAATTCAACAGTTTTTACCGGATTTCCTTTACTTGGAGTAAAAAATTGCTTTTATTACTGCCTGTCTTATTGTCGCTGTGAACTGAGGTCAAGATTGAAGGAACACTGTCTATGAAGGCCCGCCAGTAATGGCTGTTAGAACCAGCAAAGTAATACAAGTTCAGACGAGCTTTATAATGAGTTATTATAAAGTTATTATTCTTTCTATCTGGATCCCGGATATTTATGTATCGTATTGTTGTTCACATTTTCTATTTGCTTCGTCGCAAGTTTCCAATGCACCTGATTTGGCTATATTCTTAGTTTTTGTGCCCAAGTACATACCATGTTTCCCTGAAAATAAGACAGAGTCTTATTTGTTTTTGACCCCCAAAATAAGTGGTTGGCCTTATTTTTGGGGAGGTCTTATTATTTTTGAGGTGCAGGAGGCGATGAGCATGATTACCTCATGGCTGCTACTGACACAGCCGCTCGTCAGCTGTTTGCCCCTGAGGCCGTGCACACGCTTCCAGCCATGCTTCCCAGGACTCTGTACCATGCCATCGGCCCAGCCACATCACTGTGACTGGATGTCCCATTGCCGCTGCCGCTTCCCTGTTCTTTGCTAATGGCTTTTGCAGTGGCCATTACCATAACAAAGGGGCGTGGTGGCTAGGGTTGCGGGAGTGGCTGTTAGGTAAGGATATGTGGAGTGCGTGGGGCATGTTCCCCCCTCCCTTCCACCACCACCCCCCCGGCCTCACCTCCTCACCTCATGTTGTTTGCACAGCAAGGAACCAGAGGAAATGGCGGGGACTGGCTGTGCATATGTTTAAATATTTCTGGGGAGGGCTTATTATCGGGGGAGGGCTAATTTTAGCGCATGTGGTCAAAAGCCTGATTGGGCTTATTATCCGGGGAGGTCTTATTTTCGAGGAAACAAGGTATTTATTTTTCCTTTGTCAAACCTGAAGACTTCATGTAGACAGTTTTAAACATTTCACCCTCAGAGAACAACTGTAGGACTGAACAGCCTAATTTTCAACTTCTGCAAATAATTGACAAACATAATCCTGTTGCTACCACAGGATTAAATTGTGGATTTTTAACTGCCTGAGTCACTGTGTATATAAATATATACACATATTATATTTATATATATATATGTATACACACACACACACATATACATATACATATATACATATGTGTATATATGTTTAATTAAATAAATACATAGGCATACTTCATACGTGAGGAGGACCAGAGGTGGGTTTCAGTAGGTTCTGACCAGTTCTGGAGAACCGGTAGCAGTAATTTTGAGTAGTTCGGAGAACTGGTAGTAAAAATTCTGAAACCCACCACTGAGGAGGACACCTGAAGTTTTCTACTCAGTGGTGTGAACTTGGAAAATAGAAACACCAGACAGTAGACTGTAAAAGAATATACAGGTAGTCCTCAATTTACAATCATTCATTTAACGACTGTTCAAAGTTCCAACATCAATGAAAAAGGCAAGTAATTGGTTGTTGTGCTTACCACCATTTTAGCATCCCCATGGTCACATGATCAACATTCAAGTGCTTGGCAACTGGCATGTACTTAGGATGGTTGCCATGTCGGGGGGATCATGTGATCACCATTTGCGAGAGGATCCATATGGTCGCGAAACCCTATTAATGCACGGTCTGTGGGAAGCGGTTCCTTCGAAGGTCGCATCTTCTCATCCATGAGACGATGCATAAGGAAGAGGGAACCGTATGGACGTTCAAAGTCCAGCCAGTTTTCAACAAGCAAAGTCAATGGGGGGGGGAGCTGGATTCGCTTAAGAACTGAATGATTCACTTAACAACCATAGTGAGTCACTTAATAATCGTGACATAAAATGTCATAAAATTGGAGTGAGTCGCTTAACTGCCTTGCTTTGCAATGGAAAGTCTGGTCACAATTGTAGTCGTAAGTTGAGGACTAGCTATAACCACAATTTTCTCATCTTCACACTTCAGAGAGTAGAATGTCAGCGTTCCAAGCAACCTACCCATTGAAATTGAAAGTAGAACTCTGAGGCAGGTAGATTCCTCAAAGGATGTTGGATACATCATATCAGCAGAGCCGTTGAAAACCAACTCTAACAGTTCCCGCGGTTTTCACCTAATTAAAAGAGTAAAAATCCCCCCTCCCAGGTTTCACCTGTCACATTGTCCAATGAAGAAGGATGGCAGGCTCCTCTTCTCCTTCAGCAGCTACCTGATATGATGACCTTGGTTCCCACAGGAAAACTTTTTGTTTTGACTGTTAGCTGGGCTATCTACTTCCCCCTCTCCCTTCCCCCTCTCAGGCTTTGTGGCAACAATGAGGCAGCACAAGATGGCTTCAGCCAGGTTTGCTTCAGAGTTGACATAGAATACATGTGATATACCCGATCCTGAATTTCTTTGCAGTGACTTCCTTTGCTTATTTTCACATTGTGATTTTCTGTTTATCCCACAGAAAAGGAGCTGACACAGAGCTACGTGGGAAGTAAGGAGAATAAATGTGCCGATTGTGGGAAAAACTTCACGCAGAGGTCCAGCCTTGTCAGACACGAGAAGACCCATACTGGAGAGAAACCATATCGGTGTTTGGAGTGTGGAAGGAGCTTCAGTCAGAGATCGATCTTGACCCGACACGAGAGGACCCATATGGGAGAGAAGCCATATAAATGCTCTCAGTGTGGGAAAAATTTCCGCCACAAATCAGCACTCCTGAGGCATGAAAAGATGGAGGCTGGGGAAAAGCCCTACGAATGTTCACACTGTGGGAAGGGTTTTATTCAGAAGTCAAACTTTCTCATCCACGAGAGAATCCACACGGGCGAGAAACCGTACCTGTGCTCTGATTGTGGGAAAAGTTTTGTCCAGCGGTGGCATCTCCTTGTCCACGAGATGACCCATAAGCAGGAGGCATCCCATGAATGTTCAACATGCGGTAAGAAATTCAATCACAGCTTAAGCCTTCTCATCCATGAAAGAAGCCACACGGGGGAGAAAATTCATCAGTGTTCCGATTGTGGGAAAAACTTCACGCAGAGATCCAGCCTTGTTTGACACGAGAAAACTCACACGGGAGAGAAGCCGTATAAATGCACAGAATGTGGGAGGAGTTTCAGCCAGAGGTCCATCTTGACCAGGCACGGGAGAGAAGCCGTACACATGCTCCGAATGTGGGAAGAGTTTCCGTCACAAATTGGCGCTCCTCAGGCACGAAAAAATGGAAGCGGGAGAAAGGCCTTATCGGTGTGAGCACTGCGGGAAAGGTTTCATTCAGTGGTCCAACTTCCGGATACACGAGAGGATCCATATGGGCGAGAAACCCTATCAATGCGCAGACTGTGGGAAGCGGTTCCTTCAAAGGTTGCACCTTCTCGTCCATGAGATGACGCATAAGGAAGAGAAACCCTATGAGTGTTCGAAGTGTGGGAAGAGATTCCATCACAACTTAAGCCTTGTGATCCACCAAAGAAGCCACACAAGAGTGAAAACATATTGTGGGAAAAGCTTTGTTGATAAAACAAGTTTTAGCAGACAGGAAAGCGTACAGCAAGAGGAGAAGTTGTATTCCTGCTCTGGCGGTGGGAAACACTTCGGTTCTAGGTTAGCTCTCCTCAGACACAAAAGTCCTAAAGTGGGAAGGAAGCCATATTGTTTCTCTCCCTGTGGAAAAAGCATCATTCCAAAATTAAAGCTTCTTGCAGCTCCCAAGGGTCCCCATAATGGATCAAATTTGGACACCTGCTTCCACTGTGGAAGAGGATACAGGCTGAAATGTAAGCTCGTCATACATGAGAAAGCCCATCTAAGAAAGAAACCATATAAACTAGCGTGTGGAAAAAGTTTCAGCCACAGGTCCAATTTTATTGGATTGCAGGAGAAGACACACATGGTTGAAAAGCAATACAAGTGTGCTGGCTGTGGGAAATTATTTAACAACTGGTCGAACCTCTTAAAACATCAAAAGACCCACACGGGAGAAAAGCCTTACAACTGTGCCAAGTGTGGGAAGAACTTCAGCAATAAAGCAACTCTTGTACACAAGAGGACCCACACCGGTGAAAAGCCGTACCAGTGCTTCAGCTGTGATAAAGGTTTCACCAGCAAATCCAGCTTAATCAAACATGAGAGGATCCACATGGGGGAGAAACTCCACATCTGTTCAGAATGTGGGAAAAGCTTCATCCAGAAATCAAACCTTCTCCGGCACAAGAAGATCCACAAAGGAAAACCGGAGAATCTGTTCTCGGATCGTGGGGAAAGTTCCAGGTTGCACATGAACCGGATGAGAAATTCAGGGATCCGTGCAAAAGAGAAACCGAACCAATGCATCCCCTATGAGGAAATGTTTCTCGTGGTCCACAAGGAAACCCATGAAGTGGAGAAACCGTATTCGTGTTTGGTTGCGGGAAAAGCTTTTCGTACAAATCCAGCCGAGGAAACACGAGAGAACTCATGCAGGATGAAAAAAAAAAAATTAAGTATATGATTCAACCAGTTTGCTTGCACACAAGAGCACCCATATGGGGCTTAACTCCGGAGGTTATTGGTGTTCCATCCCTAGACTAGACAGTCATTTGACGAGGATGTTATAAGATCTCCTACCTTGAGCAGGAGGTTGATCTAGAACAGGGGTCTCCAACCTTGGCAACTTTAAGACTTGTGTACTTCAACACCCATAATTCCTCAGCCAGCTTTGCTTAACTGCCTTGCTTTGCAATAGAAAGTCTGGTCACAATTGTAGTCGTAAATTGAGGATTAGCTATAACCACAATTTTCTCTTCTTCACACCTCAGAAAGTAGAATGTCAGCGTTCCGAGTAACACAATTTCAATTTTCATTGAAATTGAAAGCAGAACTCTTGAGGTAGGTAGATTCCTAAAAGAACTCTGGGAGTTGAAGTCCACAAGTCAACTAGGAGCTGTGGCAAGAAAGGTCATAAAATGGGGCAAAATTGACTTCTCAACTGTCTTACTTAGCAACAGATATTTTGGACTCAATTGTGGTTATAAGTTGAGGACTTCCTTTACCTATTTTCTACTTGCAGGGTATTCATGGAGGAACAAAATATTCTCCAACAGCATGAAGAAGTACTGTATTGATGCTTTGTTTTAATTTCTGGGTCCACCATAGAGCTTATCCTTATTTCTGAATTTGGGACACTATCTTAACACCTGGATCAGTTACCTTTGTTTTGGCTATCGCTTTTATTTAATTAATTTCTCAGAAAGAAAACATTAGGGCTGTTAGAAGTTCGGTTCATCCACATGGGATGTTAGAGGAAATTCGCAAATGATTACATTTGTTTGTGGGGATTGCAGACATTGAGACAGTTGATGGAGGAAGAAATGGAGCAAAGAGAAATTTTGGAAATGGAGGAATTCCTGTCATTTGTAATACGGTTACAACTATTAAATTAACTAAATAAAAATTATTAACCATTTTCAGATACTGGTTACTATACAATGCCACATTCAGTATTTTAGTTGCGGGACAGTTGGGAACCTGTAAAAAACAGTTGAATCATCCTCCAAATCCTTTTGTTAAAGCCATGTTGAGAAAAAGGCAGGAATGGACAAAGCCTTTTCTGAGATACTGAACCAATTTTCCTTTTTCTTGATCTAGATCAGCTTTGCCTTGAAGGAGACACACAATCTCAACTTGACCTTTAATTTAACTTCAGCAACTTTGACATATGTGGACTTCCACTCCCAGAATTCCCCAGCATGTTGGCTGGGAGAATTCTGGGAGTTGAAGTCCACACATCTTAAAAGCCGCTGAGGGTGAGAAATACTGTTTTAATCTCATATTTAGAGATCAGACAATACCACCATTTCAGGAATAAAGTAGAAGTGGAGTATATCTATTCTATTCATTCCATATTTTCAGCTCTCATGTTTGATGGGTTGCTAAAACCTTTGTTGTTACAATGATGAGTTTATTCTAAAATTAGTAGAAGGTTGTTTTTCTTATTTTTTGTCACTGTAAGCTGCACCAAGGCACTTATTATTGGGAATCATATTGTTGATGAATAAATTTAACATATTTAACATCATTAAAAGGACATATTTCTGGGTTTTACAGCTTGCAAGTGCTGAAGGATAGTTTTCCCCCTACCTTCAGATATATTTCAGGTATATTAGTCCAAAATTGGCAAATAATGTATTTTTTTAAAGGAATGGTTGCAGATTGGGAGAGAGAGCAGTGGCACTTTTGGAAATATTAAGCAGCATATCCGATTCCACGATACTCCTTTTAATTCGAGTTCTTGGAACAGTGTTTCTCAATCTCAGCAATTTTAAGATGTGTGGTGTTCAACTCCCAGAATTCACCAGCTTTAAAAATTGTACAATTCCAAGCTTACTAGGAAATTGTGTTGGTGTTGTGGGCCGTCAGCTGCCAGCGGAGCTGGCGGGAGACTCAAATGATGATGAGGTTGGGGAAGAACTTGGGCCAGTTCTGGAGCCCAGGGAAGGCTCTGATGGATGCTCAGTGTTGGACACGAGATAGAGCCAGGGCCATCCAGCATTTCCCAGCCACCGAAGAGGCAGCTGCCTTTGGAGTCAGAGATGAGTGAGGAGGAAGAACAGCTGGGGCCTGTTCTAAATGCACGTATGCACAGAGCAGATAGGAGAGGTGAACAACGGAGGACAAGAAGTCAACTCGGGAAGCAAAACAAACATGGATGCTGACTGGCCCCTCCCTGGCTGGGGAATAAATAGGAGGAAAGGGGAGTGGTGGTCGTAGAAGACAACCATTCACATTTCTGGAGTTTTTGCTCATTGTGGTTTTGTGCGACAAAGACTGCCTTGCCAGAATTGAGGTTTATTTGAACTGACTTAATTTGTAGCCTTCCAGCTGGGAGCTCACAGCCTTGCAATTATCGTAACAGCTGATAAGGCCTATTGCAGAGGTCTTCAAACTTGGCAGCTTTAAGACTTGTGGACTTCAACTCCCAGAATTCAACTCCCAGCACAACTGGCTGGAGAATTCTGGGAGTTGAAGTCCACAAGTCTTAAAGCTGCCAAGTTTGAAGACCTCTCGCTTATTCCTTCAGTTATTTATTTATTTATTGCGATTTATATGCCGCCTTTCTCCCTAGGGACTCAAGGCGGCTTACAAAATGACAACTTCAATACAAATCACAATACAATACCAAATTAAAATCAGTAACCCAATTAAAAATGATTTAAAATGATTTAAGTTAACTCCTTGCAGGACTCTTGCCTGGACTTTGTGGGTGAATGCAGTTAATTCACAAGATGTACATAAAAGAGGTTTTTGGTTTTTTTGCGAGGAATCTGTTTCTTGCTTCTGCGAAGACTGGGTCAGAACAGTTGGTGCCTATTCCTTACGCACAGTCACTCAGGCACTCGTCACTTCCCGCCTGGACTACTGCAATGCTCTCTACATGGGGCTCCCCTTGAGGAGTACCCGGAGGCTCCAACTGGTGCAGAATGCGGCCGCGCGGGGGATTATGGGAGCGAGGGGTCGCTCCCATGTGACACCTCTCCTGCGTGAGCTGCATTGGCTTCCAGTGGTCTTCCGGGTGTGCTTCAAGGTGTTGGTTACCACCTTTAAAGCGCTCCATGACATAGGACCTGGGTATTTGCGGGACCGCCTTCTGCCGCCGATAGCCTCCCACCGACCAGTACGCTCCCACAGAGAGGGACTCCTCAGGGTGCCGTCGGCCAGGCAATGTCGGCTGGCGACCCCCAGGGGGAGGGCCTTCTCTGTGGCAGCTCCTGCCCTCTGGAACGATTTGCCCCCAGAGATAAGAAGGATATCGGATCTCCGGGTCTTTCGCCGTGCCCTGAAAACTCTTCCAGCAAGCAGGGCTGGCGTGAACCCCGCCCCCTTTTTAGTTTTTAATGGTTATTAATTGTTTAGTTTTAATCTGTTAATGGGTTTTAATTTGCATTGTTTTAATTCGGGCCAAAGTATATAATTCTTTTAATTAATTTTAAATTTTGTATTGTTATGTATTTTAGTTTTGGCTGTGCACCGCCCTGAGTCCACTAGGAGAAGGGCGGTATATAAATTGAATAAATAATAATAATAATAATAATAATAATAAACATGATTATGTGCCATTGAGATTGCTGATTTTTAAGGACTGCGTAGATGGATTTTTTCCCTATGCTGATAAAATAAATAAATAAATAAATAAACAAACAAACAAACAAACAAACAAACAAACAAACAAATAAATAAATAAATAAATGTATTTCTATACCGCCCTTCTCCCGAAGGACTCAGGGCGGTGTACAGCCTATTAAAAGCACAAAGACAGACATCAGTTAAAAATAATTAAAATTATTAAATAATTTTGGCTCAAATTTAAAACCCCAAAATTTAAAATTTAAATTTAAACCCAATTTAAAAATCATTACATTGATAGCCCGGTCTGGCGGAACAGGGTCTTGAGGGCACAGCGAAATACACGGAGGTCAGAGATCTTACACATTTCTGGGGGCAGTTCATTCCACAGGGCAGGGGCTCCCACAGAGAAGGCCCTCCCCCTGGGTGTCGCCAGCCGACGTAACTTGGCTGATGGCACCCTGAGGAGACCCTCTCTGTGGGAGCTAACTGGCCGGTGGGAGGCTATTGGTAGCAGAAGTCGGTCTTGAAGGTACCCAGGTCCTATGCCATGGAGCGCTTTAAAGGTGGTAACCAACACCTGATGTGGCCCAAACCTGTTCCTTCAGGTCTTCCAATGGTGCCCCCATTGCTGAAGTACAGTATCTTGAGTTCATCCATCTTGCTGCCGTTCCTCCTTTTCTTCTCTTTGATTCCTCCTTTCCCAGCATCGGAACCTTTTCCAGACAGGTGGATCTTTGCATCATGCGATCACCTTGATAAAATAAAAAACCCAATAGTTGATAAGCTCCCTATATCCTGGTTTGTATGTTTGTATATGTACCAGTATATATGCATGCATACACAAACCAGGATTCAAGAGGCCTATCTGCAGTGAGATTTTTTTTTTTTATTCTCTGATTAGAAAACCTCTTGCGCAATTGTTCCCCAAACTCTTTTGATCACAAAAATAACCCCTGGAAGATCACCAGTGAATTAAAAAGAACAACGGCTGCTCCGTGCAGAGATCAACTGGCAAATGTAGGTATGCTCACTTAAAGTGAAGACGATTTTCATTTTGGACACCAAGGTTTGTGACAGGCTCGGTGTATAAATGCACACCGTTTAAAATCTATAGTGAACATTCACTAAATTCTGTAAACTACAACTTCAATAGTAAAGTTGCTATATGCAAATTGGGCTCACCCAATATTCTGTTGGTATTTTCAAAATGTCTGTATGGGTGGACTTCAACTCCCAGAATCCTCAGTAATGAGCATATTTACTGAGTGTTGTGGCCCGCCACTGGCCAGCGGAGCTGGCAGCAGACTCAGACAGTGAGGAGGTTGGAGAGGACCATGGGCCAGTCCTGGAGTCTGGGGAAGGCTCTGATGAGTGCTCTGCGTCGGAGGCAGAGATGGGGTCGAGGCCGTCTGACAGTTGTCAGCTGCCTTCAGAGCCAGACATTAGAGGGGCAGAAGAACACCTGGAGCCTGTTCCCAGTGTGCGCATTGCAGAGCTGCCAGAAGGGAACATCTAAGGAACAAGGGTTGACTCTGGAGTAAAGCCACAGGTAGACGGTGAATGGCCCCTCCCATAGAGAATAAAGAGCGAAAGGGGAGGGGAGATTGCAGGAGACAATTAGTTCGCTTAATTGGTTCGTGACTCTCCATGACTCCTTGCCAAGTTTTGAAGATATCGGCCTGGCAGCTCTGCAAGCCAGATAAGGTCTGTGACTGTAAATTCTCCCTTGAAAGATTTTGCTGGATGTGAATGAGAGGAATTCACAGTAACTTAATAAAAAGGGGTTTTTGTCAGGATGAGTCTGCTTTGTGCTCTTGGGAAGCCTAGGTCAGAACACTGAAGAACTCTGGGAAATGGTCCACACATTTGGAAATTGCCAAGATTGGGATTCAAAACTCTAAAATGGGTGGGCAGCTATGACAACTTTATGACCTGTGGACATCAACTCCCAGAATCCTCAGTAATAAGCATTTACTAAGGAACTCTGGGAAACGAAGTCCACACACTTGGAAATTGCCAAGAGTAGGACGCAAATCTCTAAATTAGGTGGGCAGCTATGGCAACTTCATGACCTGTGGACTTCAACTCCCAGAATTCCTGAGCCAGCTATTCTTCAATTTTGAGAATTGAAAGTCCACAGGTTGTAAACTGGTCATAGTTGCCCATCCCTGCTCTAAAATGAAAGCAAGCCATTTTGTGGCTTAGAAATCATGGCTTAGATTTAAGACAGGGGTGGGCAACTGTGGCCCTTTTACAACCTGTGGACTTCAACTCTCAGAACTCCTGAAACAGCCAAGCTGGCTCAGGAATTCTAGAAGTTGAAGTCCACAGGTTGTAAAAGGGCCACAGTTGCCCACCCCTGACTTAAGAGGATCCCTGTGTGACTTCATCCAGCCAAATGTGATTCATATAAATGAGATGCCAATAATTGTGGTTGAGCAGAATGTGTGATCTCTGCCAATACCGGAGCTCTTAGATCAAGAGTGACATACATGTCTGGAGGGCAGAACACGGAACTGAATTCTGAATAATCCAGGCACTTGGCAACTGGCATTTATTTATGACAATTGCACTATCCCAGGGACATGCGAGCACCAGTTGTATCTTTCATGGCCAACTTCTTACAAGTAAAATCAATTGAGGAGGTGTTGGGGAGAGAAGCTGGATTTGCTTGACAACTGTGGCAAAGAAGTCGTAAAATTTGGGGGCTCAACTGTGGTCCTAAATCAGGGATTACCTGAATTTTGATGACTGACAAGGAACATTAAATAAAAAAACACATGCCCACAAATGTGTTAAATGAATTCCCTGATCAACAACTCCTGGAACTCAGGGATTGTTTATCGAGGTCATCTCTGTATGACCTACCTGCATAGCCATGGGAGGCCAAAGTCACCTGTTCTATCTTGTCTCGGTCTCGGTCTCACACACACAGGAGTGGGCTGCTGGGGATTTGCAGGGGTTTGGGAGAACCTCTAGCTAAGATTCTGTGCAGTTCGGAAAATCCCCAAATCCCACTCCTGGCTACCGGTTCTGTGGGTGTGGCTTGGTGGGCGTGGGGAAGGATACTTCCCACCCCACTCCTGGGGGAAGGATATTGCAAAATCTCCCTTCCCACCCCACTCTGGGGCCAGCCAGAGGTGGTATTTGCCAGTTCTCCGAACTACTCAAAATTCCCGCTACCGGTTCTCCAGAACCTGTCAGAACCTGCTGGACTTCACCCCTGGTGCGGAGGCTCTGGGAGAGCAAAAAATGGGCCTACCGGAAGTTCAGGAAGGCCTGTTTCCGGCCTCCAGAGGGACTCCAGAGCCCAGGGAGGGCAAAAACGCCCCCCCCGCACCATGGTGCAGGAGGCTGACTAGGCCACGCCCACCATGGCCACGCCCACCCAGCAACCAGGCAGAGAACCCCTTGCTGAAATTTTTGAAGCCCACCCCTGCACACACATATACAATTTTGTGCCTAATTCCAGCTGTTGCCACCATAAGGGCCAATGGAAGGTTGGGCTGATCATCAATGGGGCTATTTTATCAAATGCAGTGATTCACTTAACGGTGGCAAAGAAAGGTCATAAAATGGGGCAAACCTCACTTAACAAATGTCTCAGCCAGAGAAATTTGGGGCTCCATCGTATTTGCAAGTCGAGGACTGCCTGTATATTCGCTCTGAATTTCCTTTTTCTCATTCTCTTGCAGTTGTGGGTTGTTCCCGGTTCGTAAGAACTGGTAGTAAAAATTTGTAGTAGTTCCGGGAACCGGTGATAACATTGCCTGGCCCTGCCCCCGAACCGGTCCCCGGCCTGGTCGCCGCTCGCTTACCCCGCCCACCTCATCAGAGGCTTCTTTTTTTAACTTTTAAAAGCATTTTTTCCACAACCTCTTCTGCTGGAAAAATGCTTTTAAAAGTAAAAAAAAAAAGCCTCTGATGATCCCGCGGCTCAGCTGGGATCGTCAGAGGCTTTTCAAAGCATTTTTTCTTCGGCTGAAGAGGTAGTAGAAAAAATGCTTTGAAAAGCCTCTGACGATCCCAGCTGAGTTGCCTGATCGGCAGAGGCTTTTCAAAGTATTTTTTTTCTGCAACCTCTTATTGTAGAAAAAATGCTTTTAAAAGTAAAAAAAAAAAAAAGTTGGCCACGCCCATGTCACATTACTCCAAGCCACGCCCACAAAATAAGCCACGCCCACAGAACTGGTAGTAAAAAAATTTAGAACCCACCCCTGTTCTCTTGGTCCATGCTCAACTTGATTCTCCAACTATGCCTTTTAGATATGGGTAGTCCTCAACTTACAACTATTCATTTAGCAACCGAAGTTACAACAGCACTGAGAAAAGTCCTTTACGACCATTGCAGTATCCTCATGGTTACATGATCTAAATTCGGAAGGTTGGCAACCGGCACATGTCAAGTGACCAGCACCTACCCAGTTGGCTTCCGACAACCAAAGTCATCGGAGAAAGCTGAATTCGCTTAACGACCGTGTGATTCGCTTAACAACTGCAGTGATTCACTTAACAACCATGGCAAAAAAGGTCGTAAAATCAGGCACCCCTCATTTAACAATCGCTTTGCTTAGCCATGGTAATTCTGATCCTAATTGTAGTTGTAAGAAAAGCATTATCTATGTCCGTAGACCAGGGTGTCAAACTCAAGGCCCATGGGGCGAATCCGGCCTCTAGGGTGCTTAGATCTGGCCCGTGGGGCCACCCTGGAAACAGCGAAGGAATGGCCCGTGGTGCCTCTGCCAGCAACAACAGAATGTTGCAGGATGCTGTCGCAGCCGAAAACAGAACTTGGGAGCCCATTTTCGCTGGCACAGCGCTCAGGCCACCACAGGCGCCCCCGACATGAGTGTTGTCGAGTTGGCCACACCCACCCCGGCCCCCCCAAGGTTAAACACAACCCTGATGCGGCCCTCCATGAAATCGAGTTTGACAGCCCTAACATAGATTGTTATCATATTTCCCCTTAAGTCTTAAGAAAGACTTACAGTGAGAACACGGGAGTGCAAAAGAGGAGAGTAATTAGAAATCTAATTACAGATGTGAAACTTCAGATACCCAAACGGCTTCTAATTTAATTTTGGAAAGCCAGAATGACTCAGTCATCCATTTAAACAGGGATAAGACATCCGTCCTTCCACTAGGGACTATTATTAAGTAACAACACTTAAATGTTTAAAAAGTACTTTTTATGGTTATTAACGCAGCTGTTTCTTTTCTAAATTTAGGTTCGTAATTCTTTACAATCCATGTTTTATTTTTTCCACCATACACTCGTTTTATTTTCCCACAATCCTCCAGTCTATTGACTGTTAACCATTATCGACTGTCTTCTGCATCCCCTCTCTACATCCGCCGACAGATCTCCATAGAGGAATAATATCAGAATCGCATTCCAGCAGTAGAATCTAGCATGTTTGCAATTCACTCGACATAATGCCTTTAAACAGGGAATTTGGTGTTGACCCGTGGTCTATGCGTCAATCCCCATGTCACATGATGACGACAAAGAGCTTGGAAGGCAAGGAGAAACCTCTCTCTAAGGCTGGGATGGGCAACTATGGGAACGTTACCACCTGTGGACTTCAACTCCCAGAATTCTTGAGAGTCAGCATAAAATGGCTGCCTCAGGAATTCTGGGAGTTGAAGTCCACAGGTCCTAAAGTTGCCATAACTGTCTATCTCTGCTCGAAGGCTATCTAAAATCACAGAAATAAAAGAATCTCTTAGTGCACAGCTCTATGACTAGCCTACATTCATTCCAACAGCTTCCTTCAAGCAAGTGTACTGTCAAATCAGAAGACCTAGGCGTTCATAATGGAATCTGGGCCTTGTCCACTACCCCGGGTTGTTGTTTTTTACTGTTTCTCCCCAGCATGGGTCCTCTCGTGTTTATTAAGAATCGTCCTGCGAATGAAGCCTTTCCCACAGTCGGAGCATTTGAAGGGTTTCTCGCCCGTGTGGGTTCTCTCGTGCACAATGAGACTCGAGCTCTGGTTGAATCCTTTCCCGCAATCGGAACATTTGTACGGCTTCTCCTCCGTATGGATTCGCTCGTGCCTGATAAGGCTCGATTTGTCGCTGAAGCTCTTCTCGCAGGACGCGCAGCTGTACGGCTTCTCCCCGGTGTGGATCCGTTCGTGTTTAATCAGGCTGGATCTGTCGCTGAAGCTTTTCCCGCAATCGGAGCACTTGTAAGGCTTCTCCCCCGTGTGCGTCCTCTCGTGATTCGTCAGGTTGGACTTCCGGTTGAAGCTCTTCCCGCAGAATGAGCAATCGTAGGGCTTCTCCCCCGTGTGCGTCCCCTCGTGCCTAATCAAGTGTGACCGGCTGCTGAAGCTTTTCCCACAGTCCGAGCACTTGAACGGCTTCACGCCCGTATGGATCCTTTCGTGAGTCAAGAGGTGAGACCTACGCACGAAACTTTTCCCGCAGCTGGAACACTTGTACGGTTTGTCCCCTCGGTGGGCTCGCTCATGTTTGTTAAGGCTCGACTTGTCGCTGAAAGGTCTCCGGCAGTGCGAGCAACTGTATGGTTTTTCCCCTGTGTGGATTCTCCGGTGTATGACGAGACTTGAATTCTGATTGAAACCTTTCCCGCAGTCCGGACACTTGAACGGCTTCAAACCTGTGTGTTTCATCTCGTGAATCAGAAGGTTAGATTTCTGGACAAAGCCTTTCCCGCAAGCTGTGCAGCTGTAAGGTTTCTCTCCCCGGTGGATCCTCTCATGAGCCAGGAGACTGGAGCTCTGAATAAATCTCTTCTCGCAGCCCGAGCATTTGTATAGTCTCTGTTCTCGGTGGATCCTTTCGTGCCGCACGAGGGTGGAGCTCTGGTTGAACCTTTTCCCACACTCCAAGCATTTGTAGGGTCTCTGCTCCGTGTGACTCCGTTCGTGCCTGATGAGGCTGGAGCTCTGGTTGAACCGCTTCCCACACGCCGAGCAGCTGTACGGCTTCTCCCCGGTGTGCTTCCGCTTGTGCCTGATGAGACTGGAACCGTCGCTGAAGCTGTTGCCACATTCGGAGCACCGGAATGGCTTTTCCCCCGTGTGGATTCTCTCATGGGTACGAAGGTTGGACCTCTTCATGAAGCTTTTGGTGCAGCAAGAGCACTTGTGGGGCTTCTCTGCCGTGTTCTGGTTCTCTTGTTTGACACGTTCGGGTTTGTCAGGGAAACGTCTCACAAAGCCAGAGTAAAATGGTATTTCTCTCTGCAACGTTTTGTCATGGCCACCTCCTATTGGGATAAACAAAGAAATGCTCGTTTTTAATCAAGCCAGGATTAGGGTTTCAGCAGGGACATCTGCTGGGTAGGGGTGGGGAGTCAAAATGTTTGGGGGACTTGTGACAGGATTTTTGACCTCTTGATTGTCCTCAGACATCTCTTGGAAGATAACCTCTGTCTATATCTTGACTAATTCATGGAAATAAGATCATTAAGATCTACCCCAGGTGGTGCTCCAGTTTACATAGATTGTGTTAAACCACAATGTAATTTGTGTCCCAGATCGAGGTCTTTCTCCAGCTTGGCATCTCAGATCCTCTAAAAGCAGAATGAATATGGAACCTGATGGATCACACACAAACACACACACACACACACACACACACACATCTTTATGTCATGTTATTGTACCCAGACTGAGAATCTTGGTTCAGAAGCAACATCTTGCTTAATGCATACGGGAAAGAGATTAAGTAGGAAAGCACGTATTTGACTGAGAAGGAACATTACATCCCTTATTTATTTGTTTATCCTACCTTTATTATTTTTATAAACAATTCAAAATGGCAAACATATCTAATATTCCTTCTTCCTTCTCTTTTCCCCACAATAACAATAACCCAGTGAGGTAGATTGGGCTCAGAGAGGGTAACTGCTTTCAGGCCTAAGGAGAGACTAGAACTCTCTGTTTCCTAGTGATTAATCCAAAATCACCCAAATGGCTTTCATTCCTAAGGTAGGACCAGTGGTGAAATGTAAAATTTGTTACTACCAGTTTGTGGGCATGGCTTGATGGGGGGGTAATGTGACTGGGTGGGCATGGCCAATTCTTTTTTTTTTTAACTTTTAAAACCATTTTTTTCTACAAACTCTTCGGCCGAAGAGGTTATTTAAAAAATGCTTTTAAAAGCCTCTGACGATCCCAGCTGAGCCGTGTGATCATCAGAGGCTTTTTTTTTTACTTTTAAAAGCATTTTTTTTCAGCCGAAGAGGTTGTAGAAAAAATGCTTTTAAAAATTAAAAAAAAAGCCTCTGATGATTGCGCGGCTCAGCTGGGCATGGTGGGGGGGGGGGGACAGGGATTTTTGCTACCGGTTCTCCGAACCACCTGCCGCCATCGCTACCGGATCGGGCAATCCAGTCTGAACCAGGAGTATTTCACCCCTGGGTAGGACTAAAATTCACTATCACCTGGTTTCTAGCCTGCAACACTAAACCAAACTGGCTCTTAGAAGGAATTTGAGGTAAGGTCAGCACAGTCCTTTCTTCCTAGTGATAAAATTTAATGGAGTAAATTAATCTCAACTTACCTGATTGGACTGTTTTGAATGTCACACTTGTTTCTGAAACCTGGGGGCAGGGAACATACGGAATCTCTTCCTGTTCCAGCTTTATTATTACATCTGGAAGCTCTGCTCAGAAGAAATGAGATATGATAGAATAATTATTTTGGTAACTGGCAATGGAGGACATCTGCAATTTTCTGGGCAAATCCCAGAACTTTAGGCAATAATTCAGAACAACTGTTCCTAACATGGCAATTTCCAGGTGTATTGGGACTTCAACTCCCAGAATTCTCTTTGCTCTGATGCCTTGGAATGCTGGGAACTGCAATGCCAACAGTTCTGGGGGACAATACGCTGCCTTAGAGCCAATCTGTGAAGGATAGTTCTCCCCCACAAAAAATACACAGTAATTTCAGAATGGGCACATTATACCAAGCACAACATATAAGGCATATATGAAGGCATATATGAAGGGAAAGAAAAGTAATTTTGTCTTCACGTATTTCAAAATACAATTGTGGTATTTCTCCAATTGTGTTATCCTCAAATCAAGATGATCCAATGACTGAATTAAAACTGAACTTGGTTTCCTCAAAGTCTAGATCAGGGGTCTGCAATCTTAACGCTCAAAGAGCCATTTGGCCCCGTTTCCCACAGAAAAGAAAACACTGGGAGCCACAAAACCCTTCCCGTGCCTGACCATTTCTTGAGCAGCCACAAAACTAGCACATGTAGTTGAATTAAATGTTCTCTTTTCTTCTGAAACTTTTCTTTTCTTGGATTTATCCATGGTTGGCCTATCGGGGGTTGAAAAGCTCAATAAATCGCATGCCGGCAGGTGTCACAAATTGGCAGTTGTGACGCATATTTTGAGTGACAGGGAGTCGCAGCAGAGGAGTGAAAGAGCCACATGCAGCTCCAGAGCCGCAGGTTGCTGATCCTGGTCTAGATCAATGCTAGAGTGGTATAATGGAGCAGAATTAGAGAACTTCTAATTCTAGCTAGATTGACTAATTGATTATGTGATATCAACTTAGTGTCAACTCTTAGTAACCACATGGAAAGACTTTCTCCATAACCTGGTTATTTCAGTGGTGCACCAATTAAGGAACTCCTGGTGTGGGGAATCTAGATTAATTGCAATAATTCGCTCAATAGTTAATCTTACCGGAACCATAATCTACTGGAATTTCTTTTTCTTGTGAAATAGGCTCTGGAATCCATGGATCTCCCCCATGGATCACTTCAGACTTGGGAACTGGAAACCCTACACAGAAAGAAAACAAACAGATGAGAATTATTTGTATCTCAAGGTTGAACTGTGAGGTTCTCAATGTGCCGTGTGCTTCATTGTTTTCTTACAGATGTTTCATTACCCAACTAGGTAACAGCATCAGTGCTGTAAGGGAGTGGTTTTTTTTTTTTAATTTGATTTATATGCCACCCTTCTCCGGAGACTCAGGGCGGCTTACAATGTGTTAAGCAATAGCCTTCATACTTTTGTATATTTTTACAAAGTCAGCTTATTGCCCCCACAAACTGGGTCCTCAATTTACCTACCTTAGAAAGGATGGAAGGCTGAGTCAACCTGGCAAGATTCGAACTTACTAATTGCAGACAGCTGGAGTTAAATTACAATGCATGAGTCTGCTGAGCTATCCAGGCTCCAGGGTTTGCTTTCTCTTGATATGTAAGTAGTTTGGCCTGCAAGTGTTGGTGGGGGTGTTCTTGGCTCAATGAAACTTATATTTATCATTCTAGAAGTAAAGTTGCTAATATTACATACTTGTCCCAAATATTGGAGAAGAGCACTGAAACTGGAATACGGTAGATTGCCAGGACTAAGGTAATAAATATAAGCTGTGCACAGCCTAGCTCTTGGTTCAGCCCTGGAATCGTTAGGCTCCACTACACTTCATTTAAGGAATTTAGTTCCTTAATCTGTCTAGCTCCATCCTGTGGACCTTAAAAAGCACGGGGCACAAATCTAGGTTACGCTTTCTGTACCTGAATGATCAATTGAGAAACTCCGACTTCCTTCTGCCACCTGGTTGTTTGGAAGCCATGAGACATCTTCTTTGTCTTCTAACTTTATTGTCACGTTAGGGAATTCTAATTAAGAAAGAGGAAAGATATTGAAAAAGAAGACATTGCTGACTCTTATGTTGGGTGTGTGTGTGTGTGTGGATACAGTGTATGATATTGCTCACTTATACCATTTACAAATAACATCCTAACAGCCTTTGAGGCCAATAAAAGAGCTTCAGATATCTCCATCTGAGAGACAAGAAGAACAGCTGCAGACTAGATAATGGTTGGATAGGAAGCAACTTAGCTTGTAGAAGCAATGGAGGCATAATGTCAGGCTCCCAGTGGAGCTTGAATCTGCGGAGGAAGCCGATGGAGATTGAGGGGGCGGTTCCATTGGCTTCCGAGGAATATGGGGAGGAGCAGCCAAGTCAGGCCAGGGCCTTTCAAGATTGGGATGGCTTGTAGGCAGAGAGGAACGGGGCCAGGATGACCAAGAGAGACTAAGCAGTGAACATGAGAGACAGAGCTCAGGTGACAAGCAAGGACTACCCCCTCCTGATCCTCGAGCAAGGAGAGTGGAAAGAAGGCGGGAACAGCGCAGGCTGACCACTACTACTACTTGGGAGGAGAGCGCCTTGTCCCTCTACACAACGCACACCTGGAGACTGAGACTTAAGGAAACACTGTGGGGAGGGGCATTTGTCGGGAACAAACGCTGAATTCATGGAGTGTTGAGTGCCGTTGCCGACATTTGAAGTTTCCTGGATTTCTTGCTTTCTTTATGGCTTCCTGGATTAATTGCCTTGTTCCTTTGCTTCCTGGACTCATTGACTTGTTCTGCTGGATTTCTTGCTTTGCAGCCATTGTGCTCACAGCATTGTGCTGGACTACTTGCAGCCAGAGGCTGCTGGAGTTGTGTGTCTCATCACTTTGCTCTGGGACTTGCCAGAAACGTGGGAGCGTTTGGGAAAATTTGGAGCAATAAAAGGGGCGGTATGAAGTGTCAGCTGACTGTGTTGCCTCTGTGCCGTGCCCCAGGTCATCACACATAGCTAACGTATTTTCAGACTTCATCACACATAGCTAACGTATTTTCAGACTTTTGTCAACCTTGTGAAGTATGGATAGTCCTCAACTTACGATCACAATTGAGCCCAAAATTTCTGTGGCTAATTTAGACAGTTATTAAGTGAGTTTTGCCCCACTGACTCTTCCCATAGTCACTGCAATTGTTAAGTTAGCAACATGGCTGTTCAAGGGAATTTGACTTCCCTATTGAGTTTGTTTGCACTTGGTTAATTAGAATAGAATAGAATAACAGAGTTGGAAGGGGCCTTGGAGGTCTTCTAGTCCAACCCCCTGCTTAGGCAGGAAACCCTATAGCACAGTGCAGGGGTGGGTTCTAAATTTTTTTACTACCGGTTCTGTGGGAGTGGCTTATTTTGTGGGCGTTGCTTGATGGTCATGTGACAATTCTTTAGGATTTAGCAGAGGTACTGGTCTACCAGGCTTTTAACTGCTTGCAAAGCTGTACCAATCTACCCATTTATTTTTGCAGGCACTGATCTACTCATGTATTTTTGCAGGCACTGGTCTACCTATTTATTTTTGCAGGCACTGATCTACTCATGTATTTTTGCAGGCACCGCTCTACTCATTTGTTTTCTTTTAACACTGATCAGCTGTAGGACAGCCCTTTGAAGCCCCACGGCAAGAGTTTAAACAGTTTTTTTCCCTCTAGCCATCAGCTGGGACTCAGGAGGCAGCAATAGATTGGGGGTGGGGCCAAATAAAAGGTAAGAATAATGTGGGGGGGGGGGCGGGGGGGCAGAACCGGTTCAGTGACATCATATCGTCACCGCTACCGGCTCGGCGGAACCAGGCGGAACCCACCACTGGCACAGTGGTGGAGAACCTTTTACTCATCGAGTGCTGAACAGGTACATGCTTCACGTGTGAGCGTGCTATCCGTGCACGGCTTTCACACGCACACCATGTGCGCAATGGCACCTTTTGCGCATGGTTATCACGTGCACAATGCACACGCACGAACACCATCTACATGCATGCGCTGTAATCTTGTGCGTGTGCACAAACGTGCTTGCATGCGCAGGAGAGCTCCGAAGACCAGCTGGGTCCCCTGAATTGCGCGCATGAGCACCAAACACCAGCTGGGGCGCGTGTGCATGCGCAGCTGCAGGTTGAGTTTGGCGAAAGCTCGCGTGTCCGGAAAGATGGCTTTGCGTGCCACCTTGGGCACGCGTGCCATAGGTTCACCATCATGGCTATAGCATTTTAGACAAATGGTTATCCGATCTTTTCTTTAAAACTTCCAGTGTTGGAGCATTTACAATTTCTGGAGGCAACGTCTTCTACTGCTTAATTGTTCTGTCAGGAAATTTCTCCTTAGTTCTAGGTTGCTTCTCTCCTTGATTAGAATTAGTTAATTTTACTTCAAGAGCGTTTAATTCGTCTTCAGGTCAAAACAAAAACAGAAATGTGATTTCAGGAAGGGATGTCCTTTGATCAGCATGGGCCCACAAAACAACATTAACAATACCCTTCAAATCTGTAAAAGAAGAATGAAATCCTTACCCAACGAAGACATTTTCCTGGAATTCTCTTGCATATCTGCCCAGAATCAGTTTCATGGATTTGGGCTCAAAAGTCTGTGGTTCCTCCTTCACAAGATGCACAGGGCCGCATCTTCAGAAGTTGTCCTGATGTCCTTGAAACAAAAATAGCACTTGGTTTTAGCATAAAGATTTTTCAGAATTTGCAAAAGACTTTCTATTATGAATCCCATCTCATGGCAATCCATGACCAGTAAGTGCCATTCCAGGGATTGAGATGTCTAAAGACGGAATCCAGACATGTGAGTCAGTTCAGAACATCTACTAACCTGCCAAAAATCATGCAGTGATAATTACAGATGATTATAGAGGAAAAGTTTATGAAAACCCAGAGCGGCCTTCTTCAACCTGGATATCCTGAGATGCATGGACCACATTTCCCAGAATTTCTTGCACATTGTGGCCCTTACTGACCATAGTAGAAGTTGAAGTCAACTATCTGGAAACTTAGTGCCCACAATGGGGATGTCAGCGTCTCAGCGCTGACATAGAAAAGGGAGATAAGCCCTGAACTTTTGCCTGCTAAATCCCTTTGAAGCTTGGTCTCCGTGGAAATGAAGAGGGGGGAACATTCCTGTGAAATGACGAGACAAGAAGTCAGGAGAGTGACTTGGAAGATAGCCAATGAGAAGCAGAGAATTGGGGATCAGAAAGGGAGGGATTGGGGGGGCAAAAGGTCAGTCTTGTCCGCACCAGTCATGATCCGGTTGCTGTACTCGAATAGAGATTTCCTTAAAGATTGGCAGTTTGGAAATTCATTTATTTTGAGATAGCATCGAAGTCTGACAGAGGAAATCTACTCCAGTTTTGGATTCAAATTTCTATCAATGATGTTTTCAGTTACTTAGGTAGGTGCCATCAAATTGGGCGTGGCCATTGTTGATTGCAGGGACCAATGGCTGCCCTCTCCACCTGTCTCCAGTAATAATTCATAATCTATAGCAATAAACTGTGTAATCATATATAAAACTGTGTTTTTCTTCCAAATTCCGGGAACACTTCTTCAGCTCCATGCAAACTTCGTGTGCCCAAGCTTCTAACACTCTCTAATACACTCACGCTGATGTTACCCAGTTGGGTAATGAAACATCTTCAAGCAAGAATAAAATCGAATAGAATTCTTTATTGGCCAAGTGTGATTGGACACACAAGGAATTTGTCTTGGTGCATATGCTCTCAGTGTACATAAAAGAAAAGATACATTCGTCAAGAATCATAAGGTACAACACTTAATGATAGTCATAAGGAACAAATAAGCAATCAAATCATATTAGGAAACAGTCAATATAAATCGTAAGGATACCAGCAACCAAGTTCAGAGCGCATCAAGGATGCTATGAACTCTGTAGAAAACTGGCATCCTTTTTAAGTTTAATATGCCTGTTATATTTTTTTCCAGACAGAAATGAGCAAGAAGAGCATCAGAATGAAAAGATGAGTTGTATCCATTCGAAGAAGAAGAAGAAGAAGGAGGAGGAGGAGGAGGAGGAGGAGGAGGAGGGGAGGAAGAGGAGGAGGGGGGGAGGGGTTCATAACATGAAAAACTATTGGGGCAGCAGGTTAGTTCTGCACTAGAAGCAAATTTATGTGTCTTGGCTTGAGCAATAAATCCAGCCTTTTTTTAAATAAGCCATGCTTCGTAGCCTAACCTAATGCATGACTGATTTTTTTTAAAAAAATCAAGATTTAAAAATCATGGTTGCACAAAATGTTCTGACTAGCTGAGGGGCAAAAAGGACAAGTATAAAAAAAATGGATAGAGCAGCTTGTAACTAAAGCAGAATAATCAGCAAATAGCCCAAATCTGCAAGGACAGAGAAAGTTAAGGCTCAGAATGAGATAAGAATTGTAACAAATGCCAACAATAACTAAAAAATGAGTTTCTTTTGAAATGTAAGGAACAAAAGGAAAGTTAAGGGAACAGCTGGTCCTCTAATGACCTTTAAATATTGCTTTTTTCACATCCAGCTATTTGATCTTTTTCTAAACTGGAATGATCAAGAGATCTTGCGCTAGCCAAGCAGCGCTCTATCAGCTTCTAGTTCTCTCAACTTTGAACACACTAGATTACAGTATTCCCAACCTATATTCCCAAGAACTCCTGATCATCCACGTGGATACTGGAGGGGAGTTTCCACTAGGGATTGCCTATAAAAATAATTACTAGAAAATGGCACCAAATTCAAGAATCATTACATTTCACATGATTCTGACTTGTCTCACCCTGAATCTTGGATGGCTTCAGGCAATAACACTAACTAATGGCGAGAGCTGTTACCTTCATGAAATCTCAGCCTTTTTAAATTGGAAAAAGAAGAGTTTAAAGTCATTTTTGTTGAGCTTTGGGTTTCTGCTGAACCATTCAGGACAGTAATACTGTATGTATGATGGTATTTGTACTGAATCTACCTCACAACTGATCCTTGACACATGAACACCCCCCCCCCGTCTTATGAATGATTTTTTGTACTATCCAAATGGCTTAAGACAGCACTGACACACTCAGCTCAAAACTGCACATCCCGGCCAAATGCACGCAACGCTGGGCAGCATCACGGGAGAACCCAAACAGAGATGTAAAATCTGGGGAACACTTCCTGCCATCCCAAACAAGCAAATAAAATACAGGGTTAGCAGAGGCTGTAGCACTGCTTATTTGTACCCTATGACTATCATTAAGTGTTGTACCTTATGATTCTTGGTGAATGTATCTTTTTTTAGGTACACTGAGAGTTTATGCACCAAAGACAAATTCTTGTGTGTCCAATCACACTTGGCCAATAAAGTGTTCTGTTCTGTTCTGTGTTCCTGTTCCTGTTCTGTTCTATTCTATTCATGGGGAGGGGAGGTGGATGGGGGTGCTAGCTTTAGAAAGGTGTGTGTGTGTGTGTGTGTTGTGTGTGTGTGTGTGTGTGTGTGTGTGTCCGTCCTATAGACAAGCAAATAGAATCCACCTGCCATCCTGGACAAGCAAATAAAATACAGGGTTAGCAGAGGCTGTAGCATCGCTTATTTGTACCCTATGACTATCATTAAGTGTTGTACCTTATGATTTGGTGAATGTTATCTTGTCCTTTTATTTTACAGTGAGAGCTTATGCACCAAAGACAAATTCCTTGTGTGTCCGATCATACTTGGCAAGAAAGAGTTCTGTTTCTGTTCTGTTGTATTCTATTCTAGCAATAGGGAGGGAAGGTGGATGGGGTTGCTGGCTTTAGAAACAGGTGTACATGTGTGTGTGTGTGTGTGTGTGTGTGTGTCTCTGTCCCATAGACAAGCAAATATAGCCCGCCGGCCATCCGGACAAGCAAATAAAATACAGGGTTAGCAGAGGCTGTAGCATTGCTTATTTGTACCCTACGACTATCATTAAGTGTTGTACCTTATGATTCTTGGTGAATGTATCTTGTCCTTTTAGGTACACTGAGAGTTTATGCACCAAAGACAAATTCCTTGTGTGTCCAATCACACTTGGCCAATAAAGTGTTCTGTTCTGTTCTGTGTTCCTGTTCCTGTTCTGTTCTGTTCTATTCTATTCATGGGGAGGGGAGGTGGATGGGGGTGCTAGCTTTAGAAACAGGTGTATGTGTGTGTGTGTGTGTGTGTGTGTGTGTGTGTGTGTGTGTGTGTCGTCCTATAGACAAGCAAATAGAATCCACCTGCCATCCTGGACAAGCAAATAAAATACAGGGTTAGCAGAGGCTGTAGCATCGCTTATTTGTACCCTATGACTATCATTAAGTGTTGTACCTTATGATTCTTGGTGAATGTTATCTTGTCCTTTTATTTTACAGTGAGAGCTTATGCACCAAAGACAAATTCCTTGTGTGTCCGATCATACTTGGCCGAAAGAGTTCTGTTCTGTTCTGTTGTATTCTATTCTAGCAATAGGGAGGGAAGGTGGATGGGGTTGCTGGCTTTAGAAACAGGTGTACATGTGTGTGTGTGTGTGTGTGTGTGTGTGTGTCTGTCCCATAGACAAGCAATATAGCCGCCGGCCATCCCGGACAAGCAAATAAAATACAGGGTTAGCAGAGGCTGTAGCATTGCTTATTTGTACCTACGACTATCATTAAGTGTTGGACTTTATGATTCTTGGTGAATGTATCTTGTCCTTTTAGGTACACTGAGAGTTTATGCACCAAAGACAAATTCCTTGTGTGAGGGAGGTGGATGGGGGTGCTAGCTTTAGAAACAGGTGTATGTGTGTTGTGTGTGTGTGTGTGTGTGTGTGTGTGTGTGTGTGTCCGTCCTATAGACAAGCAAATAGAATCCACCTGCCATCCTGGACAAGCAAATAAAATACAGGGTTAGCAGAGGCTGTAGCATCGCTTATTTGTACCCTATGACTATCATTAAGTGTTGTACCTTATGATTCTTGGTGAATGTTATCTTGTCCTTTTATTTTACAGTGAGAGCTTATGCACCAAAGACAAATTCCTTGTGTGTCCGATCATACTTGGCCAAGAAAGAGTTCTGTTCTGTTCTGTTGTATTCTATTCTAGCAATAGGGAGGGGAGGTGGATGGGGTTGCTGGCTTTAGAAGCAGGTGTACGTGTGTGTGTGTGTGTGTGTGTGTGTCTGTCCCATAGACAAGCAAATATAGCCCGCCGGCCATCCTGGACAAGCAAATAAAATACAGGGTTAGCAGAGGCTTATTTGTACCCTACGACTATCATTAAGTGTTGGACCTTATGATTCTTGGTGAATGTATCTTGTCCTTTTAGGTACACTGAGAGTTTATGCACCAAAGACAGATTCCTTGTGTGTCCAATCACACTTGGCCAATAAAGTGTTCTGTTCTGTTCTGTTCTATGCTATTCATGGGGAGGGGAGGTGGATGGGGGTGCTGGCTTTAGAAATAGGTGTAGGGTTGTGTGTGTGTGTGTGCACCAAAGACAGACTTCTTTTCTGTGCGATCACACTTGGCCAATAAAGTGTTCTGTTCTGTTCTGTTCTGTTCTGTTCTGTTCTGTTCTGTTCTGTTCTATTCTATTCTATTCTATTTCTATTTCTATTCTATTCATGGGGAGGGGAGGTGGATGGGGGTGCTGGCTTCAGAAACAGGTGTAGAGAGGTGTGTGTGTGTGCACCAAAGACAGACTCCTTTTCTGTGCGATCACACTTGGCCAATAAAGTGTTCTGTTCTGTTCTGTTCTATTCATGGGGAGGGGAGGTGGATGGGGGTGCTGGCTTCAGAAACAGGTGTAGAGAGGTGTGTGTGTGCGTGTGCATGTTTTGTGTGTGTGTGTTATTCTCACCCGTTTAGCCACCGGATGGCTGCTCGCTCGGAAGATCCGCTGCTGCTGCTGCTGCTGCAATTTCTCTTCTCCCGCCTTCCTTCCCACGGAGCTTGCAGGCTCAAAGCCTCGGGAAGCTCGTCGTCTTCTCCGTGCAAAATACGCGTCGCACCCCCGTCCAGCTCAGCGTCGGGCAGCCAGGCGCGAAGACCCCGAGGAGCCTCGTCGCTTCCCTTCCCACCGCCAGGTTGCAGTTGCCTCGCCGCGAAGATCAGCCGGGAGGAAGCCCGCCAGCCCCCCATCCCAGAGTCTCCGAGGCTGCTTCGGGGAAGGGGAGGGGAGGTGGGGGGAAGAGACTGGCAAGAGCACCTTAAATAAGAAAAGATCCGGGTCAGGCTCCGGATGAAAGGAAGGGCAGGGAACGGGAGGGAGGGGGAGTTGGGGGGGGGAACTACGGGGCGCGTCCCCCGGGCTCTCCCGGCTGCTTTTGCGGACGGATTTTCCGCTTCCCGTCACGTGACTGACGCCGAGCCAAAGGCCTGGAAAGGTGGAGAGGGCAGGGCGGGGCGCCCGGCGAGTTCGATCCATCGAGGAAAGCAGTGACAGGCTCCGCCCACCGCCAGCTCATCTGTCTAGCTCTAGGACTCTAGGTAGCCCGCCTGAGGAAAGGCGGAGGGTGCGGAGTTCTTTAAGGCGGGCGGGCGCCAGAAACAAGATTCTTCTGCAAACCTAAACAGAGCGATGCAATGAAGGCTTCCTCCGATGGGGCAATGCCTGGTTTGGCTCAATTCAACTCATAATACCCGATTTTTTATTTTTTATTTTGATTTATATGCCGCCCTTCTCTGGAGACTCAGGGCGGCTTACAATGCGTTAAGCAACAGCCTTCATCCTTTTGTATATTTATACAAAGTCAGCTTATTGCCCCCACAATCCGGGTGCTCATTTTACCTACCTTAGAAAGGATGGAAGGCTGAATCAACCACTTTTTTTTTTTAATTTTATTTATATGCCGTCCTTCTCCGAAGACTCAGGGCGGCTTACAATGTGCTCAGCAATAGCCTTCATCCTTTTGTATATTTATACAAAGTCAGCTTATTGCCCCCACAATCCGGGTCCTCATTTTACCTACCTTAGAAAGGATGGAAGGCTGAATCAACCACTTTTTTTTTTTTAATTTTATTTATATGCCGTCCTTCTCCGAAGACTCAGGGCGGCTTACAATGTGCTCAGCAATAGCCTTCATCCTTTTGTATATTTATACAAAGTCAGCTTATTGCCCCCACAACTGGGTCCTCAATTTACCTACCTTAGAAAGGATGGAAGGCTGAGTCAACCTTGAGCCTTGGCGAGATTCGAACCCTGCAGTAATTGCAGGCAGCTGGTCTTAATAACCAGCTTAATAACAGGGTGCCTTAAACCCCTGGGGGGGTCCACTTTTGTTAAAAAAAAAACAACCATTTTATCTGGTCAATGTATCATACAGGCAGTCCTCGATTTGTGACCTCAATGGAGCCCAAAATTAATGTTGCCCAGTGAGTAATTTCTTAAATGGAGCTTTGCTCCATTTTACAACCTTTCTTGACACAGTTGTTAAGTGAATCACTGCGGTTGTTAAGTTAGTAACCCGTTTGTTAAGTGAATCTGTTTTTTTCCCATTGACTTTGCTCGTCAACAAAAAGGGGGAATCATACGACCCCGAAACACTGCAACCGTCGTAAAATATGAGTCAGTTGCCCAAACTGTCTGAATTTTGATCACGATGCTGCAACGGTGGTGTGTAAAACAATCATGTCAATTTTCAGTGCCGTTGTAACTTTGAATGGTCACTAAATGAACTGTTGTAAGTCAAGGACTACCTGTATCCGATTTTGTCCAGTTCAATTTAGAATACTTGATTTATGTAATGCCATTTCTATCCGAATATAGCTCTTTTTAACGTTTTTATTTTACTGCGTCTTAATTTAGGTAAAATGTTAATATACATTGCAAGTCCATGTATGTTATGCCATACACTAAGTAAATAAATAATTTTCAGGCTTGAAGTACAAAAAAACCCCCTACCTTGCTAATGAATATGCAAATACAACGCAGCTGTGTTCCCAAATTGAAGGACTTGGTGGCGCAACAGACTAAAGTGCTGTTAAGTAACACAAGCTGCCTGCAATTACTGCGAGTTCAAATCTCACCAGGCTCAAGGTTGACTCAGCCTTCCACCCTTTCGAGGTAGATAAAATGAGGGCCCGGATTATGGGGGCAATAAGCTGACTTTGTATAAAATAGAACACCGCTTGGGTGGGGGGGGAAGCCCTACTAAGCAGGTATATACAAAAGTATGAAGGCTATTGCTTAATGCACTGTAAGCCGCCCTGAGTCTCCGGAAAACGGCGGCATATAAATCGAAGCAATCAATCAATCAATAAATAAAGGATGCATGACTTGGAAGTTATTCAGTCTGGGCTATTTTCCGGTAAATTTATTCCACTTTTCCTTACTGGCTGTTAATGATGGAAACTAAAGTCCAGCCTCTGGAGAACACTTCCATGGAGTCAAAAAACCTCTAAGGAATTTCTAGCACATAGAAAACTGCTGGGAACAGACGTTTTCAGCAATTTTCCAATCCAAAATGTTGGAAGGAGAAATGATTTACAATTGCACTGAAAGAATCACAATTCCTTGGGAAGGGAATCTCATTCTTCTCCAACAGGAAATGTATAAAGGAACGTAACAGGACAATAGCAGTGACATCTACCAATGTACTCAAACGAATGGACTGTTAATGCCTTCTTTTTTAAAAAAAAATTGGGGTTTGTAACAGAAGCAGTTCAAATGGTCAACACTTTTCAACATCCCCTGTGGCATTGCACACAGGAAGAGGCATGATTAATAGACACTGGAGGTTGGGCCAGAAAAAAAGAGGATTTTTTTTTAAAAGAAAGAAGGCTAACTCTTTTGAAAATGCTAAGTCTTCCCAAGACTGGTTAGGAAGCTTCTAGCAACCTCTAAAGAAGATGCTATCGGATAAAGAGTATTTGCACATGAAGAGTGAATAATGCTGATCTCTAGAATGACACCGATTGCAATTACAGGTAGTCCTCAAACTTACAACAGTTCATTTAGTGAACATTCAAAGTTACAACAGCACTGAAAAAAGTGACTTACAACTGCTTTTCAGTTACAACCTTTGAAGCATCCCCATGATCCTGTGATCAAAATCCAGATCAGAGGTGGGTTTCAGCAGGTCCTGACCAGTTCTGGAGAACCGGTAGCAGAAATGTTGAGTAGTTCGGAGAACTGGTAGTAAAAATTCTGACTGGCCCCGCCCCCATCTATTCTCTGCCTCCTGAGTCCCAGCTGATTGGGAGGAAATGGGGATTTTGCAGTAACCTTCCCCTGGAGTGGGGTGGGAATGGAGATTTTACAGTATCCTTCCCATGCCATGCCCACCAAGCCACACCATGCCCACTAAGCCACACCCACAGAACCGGTAGTAAAAAAAAATTGAAACCCACCACTGATCCAGATGTTTGGCAACTGGTTCATATTTAGGACGGTTGCAGTGTCCCGGGAGTCAGATTCGCTTAACGACCATGGTACTGACAACTGCAGGGATTCACTTAACGGTGGCAAGAGAGGTCGTAAAAGGGGGCAACACTCATTTAACAGATGTTTCACTTAACAACAGAAATTTGGGGCTCAATTGTGGTCGTAAGTCGAGGACGACCTGAAGCAGTATATAAAACTGCATTTGTCAAAGCAGGAAATATGGTTTTTTTTCACTTTGCTTCAACAGCATACAGGTATTCCTTGACTTTATCATCATAATGGAACCTGCCCATTATAAACGTAAGTTGTGACAGTTGTAAACTGGGGCAACACATGACCGACCCCATTTTACTACTGTTATGGTGGTTGTTAAGTGAATCACTACAGTCGGTAAACAAATGCTATGGTAGTTAAACAAGCCCATTGTTCACTAGGAGGCATCTTTGCCAAACAACAACTATTTTTAGCAAAAAAAAATATATCACAAATTGATGTCATGTGATTGCCATATGTTGCAAATGGCTGCAAATGAGGGCCGATTGTCGAATGCCAGAAATGCGATCGCGTAGGTCCAGCTGTCAAAACTTTGGAACCAGGTTATTAAGTGGTTAAGACAGCCACTTGTCTAAAATAGCAATAGCACTTAAGACTTATATACTGCTTCATAGTGCTTTCCAGCCTTCTCTAAGGGGTTTACAGCCTATTGTTCCCCTAGTAATCCGGGTCCTCATATTACCAACCTCAGAAGGATGGAAGGCTGTGTCAATCTTAAACTGGTCAGGATTGAACTCCTGGCAGTGGGCAGAGTTAGGCTGCAATGCTGCATTCTAACCACTGTGCTACCATGGTTCATTTAAATCAAGGGTGTCAAACTGGATTTCTTTGAGGGCCGGATCAGCATTGTAGTTCTCTGTGGGCTGGCAGGGGGTGCGCGCGCAACCCCCTCTGCCCAGTTTTTGGCTTGAACGGCCTCCTACAACACTTTACCGGCCAAAATGGGCCGTGCGGCCCACGCAGTCCATTTTCAGCCTCCCTGGCCGCCTGCAGCACTCTGCCAGCCAAAAATGGACCACGTGGAGGCTTCCCGAGGTCCCCACATGGCCCGTTTTTGGCCTCCCGCAGCACTCTGCCGGCCAAAAATGGACCACGTGGAGGCTTCCCGAGGTCCCCACGTGGCCCGTTTTTGGCCTCCCGCAGCACTCTGCCGGCCAAAAATGGGCCACACAGGCCGTTTGGCTGGCATAGTGCTGCTGGAGGCCGCAGAGGCCAAAAACAGGTCAAACAGGAGCTGCAAGCAGCAGAGGCATCTCAGGTCAGTCCTTTGATATTAAATCCTTGGGCCGGATTTAAGCACCTTGAGCCTTGAGTTTGATACCTCTGCTTTAAATGGTCTCTAAGTGAGTGATTGTAAGTCAAGGACTGCCTATACCGACATTCTCTACAGCAGGCCTGCCAAACTGGTGGTCCATGGGCCGGATGCATCATGCGCAGGCCACATCCACCCCAACTCTATAAAGGCAAAAAACTTTGCGATACGTCAAGATACGTCATGTGAGGCGATCAAGTTTGACACCCGTGCTGTACAGGGATGGCAGTGGGTGAGTCTCTGGCAGCAAAAACGACGAGCAGTCTTGTGGCATCTTAAAAACTAACAAATTTATTATGGCATAAGCTGGCTGTGCCGTCTAGTAAATATTGGGTATTGTATACAGTGCTAGAAAAAAAAAGCAGGTTTAACAGAGCTTTGTAAACAAGAATAAGGTGCAGAAAATAGCACCGTTTTTTTCTCTCTCAAGTAACGTAACAGAAGAACGATTGTATAGGAGTAAATGGAAGTACTGAGGTAACCTTGTCAACGTTCGAGAAGGCTTGGTGATCTGTTGT